TCGTGTTCTGTCGCTCTCTTTTGCGATCGTTCACTCGGGACCCCGGGTGTCGGCGCACGGGATTTGCCACTCCTCCTCACCCACCTTTACCACCCTGTTCTGCACTCGGTGCATTTGGCGAGTTCGTTTGAGTCCAGTTTTCCGTGCAACACTCAGTGAGTGCGATGCATTCTGGGAGAGAACTAGACCGGTGCCAGTGCGTGTGAAACGAACTCGCGATAACTCTACCGAACTCTACCTAAAGATGGCCGCCAGTGACCGCATTCGCAGAGCGGGCAAACGCGATCCAGCAATTGTCATTGAGATCAGTGGTCGGCGCGGTCACGCTACTAAAGTTTCGGTTTTGAGGCGTAAGCCTGCGTGCGTGTGTACATTGTTAAAACGAAGGCCATAACGCTGCGTTCTTGCTTTTTTAGGGAGTCACCTTTTTGTGCGCGAAAACGAATGCAACGGTTGCTGAGCCTTTTCGATTTGATTCAGTTGACTTCAGGTTTGCATGGAATTGTGCGTCTCATATTTGCAACGTCTCGTTTTTAACTTTTAATGTGCCAGTTTCTAGTGTTAGGATCACACACGAACGTGCAGGAAGATAGGGAGAGTTTTAGTTTAGTTTTATGCAGATACAGGAAAATCGCGAAATAACGTTAATTGAAAAAGCAATATGATTTTGTTTTGGCACACACTACTTCTGAGCCGAAAACAGAATTGTTATACAAGATTGCTTTAAAGTAATTGTCGGCCAATGTTTCAATTACCTCAATACATCACTGGAAATGTCAAATGAAAATCACGTTATCCAGAATGTACCACATCATTTGTCCCTTGCACAGTGGGCTGCGCAGATTACTGGTCGGTCTTCTATTCTTGAGGCAGAAAATATTGAAGAGAACCACACTCACTCACAAGCGCACAGTTACCGTCTCCACACCTCGCCGTAACCGCTGCTTGTACTACACTGCACGATGGTAACCGCACGACTGCACGGCGTCTATTTGCAACAGGGAGGAAAGGTGGGTGAGGAGGAGTGGCAAATCCCGTGCGCCGACACCCGGGGTCCCGAGTGAAAGATCGCAAAAGAGAGCGACAGAACACGAGAGAAAGAAAGCAACGTTGCCAGCTGAAGGACGGCAGTCGCAATGGTAAACGCGAAGAGTGAAAACTCTCAGCAATATAAACAGTGATAATTTAACGTTGTAAACTAAATTCTGAGCTATTCTAATGCTTATAAAAAGCAATAAAGTCATTACGCTGCATTAACTTCCCTTCTGTCGAAATCTCGGAAACCTGGTGGTTGCGCAGTTTCGTATTCTTCAACCACGCCCACCCGCGCCCCACCGGCGAAGCCGGGTATATGGTTTAGTTTAGCGTTAACGCGAGGCCGTACATCTGCGCGCTATGCAAAAAGAAAGCTTCGAAAGGAACGCGAATATCTTTCCACCGGTAAGTTTGTGGATTGTTGAAGTTCACGAAACTGCTCTGATGATGTACCGTGTTTGGGACCCCGAGGGTCTGCCTGCATGCTCCGCCGCTTGCAGCAGCCAGAATGTATGGGAAAATGGCGGACCTTCTCCTCTAGAGTTAGTATGTATGATCTCTATGATTTGCAATCCACGGCCCCGTCCAGGGTTGCCAAGTGTTTGTACTCTGACCCGCCAAATTTCTACGAGATATAGCCCAAAAATAGCCAAATGTCGATCCAGAAAAGTAGCCCAAAAATGCCCAAAAGAAAAACTGACCATTCGGTACGTTTATTTCAAGAACAAGAAACATGTATTGCATTTTTATACATCAAATAGAAAAATTCACACCACTAGCTCGCAGAACCAACGGCAGACTACGGGTACATCACTGCGGTATTAAAAAAAGTGAAAGCCGTTTACAACTCCCTGTAACACCGAATTAGAGCACAGTTCTTGAGGAGGAGGAGGGAAGGGTACTGGGGGGGGGGGGGTGAAGTGACCTGGGGGGGGTCACGTGACGATGCCGATGATGTCATCAGTTACGTCACTGATGACGTCATCAGTGACGATGCCGATGCAGACTCCGATGACGTCATCAGCGATGATGACGATGACGATGCGGATGTCGGTGACGTCACTGATGACGTCATCCGTGATGATGACGATGCGGATGCCGGTGAGGTCATCATGCAGTGACGTCACTGATGACGTCATCAGTGATGATGATGATGCGGATGCCGGTGAGGTCATCAGTGATGTCATCGTCATCAGTGATGATGACGATGACGATGCGGATGCCGGGGACGTCATCAGTGACGATGACGCCATCGGGAAGGTCACATGACCTCGGCGGGGGGGGTCACGTGACCCTGGGGGTGGTCACATGACCTCGGGGGGGGGGGGGGGGGGGTCACGTGACCTCGAGGGGGTCACATGACCTCTGGGGTCACGTGACCTCGGGGGGGGGGGTCACGTGACTTTGGAATGACCTTGGTTACGCCGACCCCAACGGCGATGCCGACGCCGCTCAAGCCGGGAACGGGCCCCTAAGAGCTGCATTCTAATATCTGAAGGAACATAGTCTTTACAGCTGTCTTTGCCCCGCAGTCCGAATTTAACAGACAAAATGTTCTCCAGTGTTTTCATCGACATCCTGTTTCGCAAGTCCGTCTCTGTGAGGGTGACCTGGCTGAACACGCGTTCTACTGCAGCGTTGGAAAATGTACCTTCCAATGTACTAATGGGATGATTAGTATCGGGGCATGGTGACCAGAACGATGTTATGGGAAAACTATACTGATTTAAACACAATGTATATGTGCACGCCAATCAACAGACAACCTAAAGAATGTGCAGAACAGGTGGTACTGTTGGGGCCGCAAAGAATGGCGCGTCCCTGGTTGAGATGGAGGAATAACAGCATGCACTTGCATTTGGACAAGATTTGGGGGTAAAGAATGGTGAACAAAGAGCAGACAAATTTGCTTGCTGTCGCATACTTTCGGAGTTAAGAGACTGAAGGTTCCAAATGTTTATGTAACTTACTATAAAAATACCATATCCGAACCTATAAAGTCAAGTGCCTTGAGGCATTCTGGTCTGCCCAGCACGGGTCAGAAATAGCCCAATACTAGCCCTATAGCCAACTACCACTTTTTCCCATCAACTGCAAAGAAAACTAGCCCAATTTGGCTATTTATAGCCCAGCCTGGCAACCCTGGCCCCGTCGCGTTATCGCGTGTGCGCAGACATTTGCCGAATTTTTGCCGAATCTTTGCCGAACTTTCCTTCAAAAGTTCGGTATCCGAAGTTCAGCAGATTCGGTCCATCACAGTTCAGAGAAAGAACCACTGAACCCGTGATGTCATGTCGTCTGCTAGCAAGGCAAAACCAGTCGTGAAACTTTATTACGGGCTTTTGTCATCGCTTGATGGTACCGAGACGGTAGAAAAAGACTTTATGGTTAGATATTGAGAAGTCACGATGCTCACAAAATATTATTTACTTTTTATTAGACAATTTTTAACTCACGTTGAGTGTGTCCTTAACAACGGCCCTATAGCAACGGTTTGTTTGGAGTGGAGCGCCATGTTGTGACGTCATCACTTACAGGGTCAATTGTGGTTGCCCCTCAACGGCCATCGCAGTATTCAAGCCTGGAGAAGAGGACGAGTAGGCTGTAAACAGTCTGTCCTTCACAAGGGTTTGGTTAAAGATGTCCCCCTTTTTAATAAAAAAAAATACTGCCGCACTCGTCGCCGAGCGAGTGCGTGCCTGGCCGAGTGGTTACCCCGCCTGGCTGTCGCGCGGAAGGTCTAGGTTCGATTGCAGTCAGCGGAATGTCCTTTTATTCTTTGAACTTGGCGTCCTCGTAAGTTCGAGAACATTCTCGTCTGATTGAGTTTCGAATGTTCTACGCGCCGAAAGTTCTACACCGAATGTTTCAGATACCCACGAGTGTACATAAGGGACTCCGCATGGCGAGCGGAGTCGGTCTCACTTTAGCGTTCGATCCTGCTCTTGCGCCGACTTCGACGCTTGGTTGTTATCCTGCTTCTCTTTTGGTTTTGGGCACAAGTTTGCCCCACTACACGTTTAGTGTCCTCAGTTATTCTTTGTTTCGTCACCTCATCATTCCTGAATATATCTAGCAAATTAAAAATGTTGACCAGCCACCCTTTGTTTGACCTCACTCGCTTTCAATGAAGGGTGTGCCTCATGAAACAACGCCTTGAAAGTAGTATTCATCTGTTGAAGGTGGTGGCTTTGCCAAGTCACGTCGGTGCCCACAGCAAGACAGGGAATGCCTCGTCCTACCAGCACCACACGAAGACGTCATGGGACAAACTCGCCCTCGATGACAGCATGGAGACCAGTGGCATTGCTACCCTAGTAGTACGCTTAGTTCTGTGATGTCCTTAGGAGATCCTCACGTTTTGGGGATGTCCTGTGGACATTCATAGGACATCCTAGAACGTTAGGAAGTTCTAAGGATATTCCCAGAACTAAGTGTGCTACCAGGGTAGTAAAGTAATCAGTTGGGCAAGTTGGTACTGATAAAACATGGTTAAAGATGTGCACAAATAACTAGGTCAGAGAAGAGAAACATGTAAACAACAGACGAGCACCACACAACTCTTTCTCTCAAGTACGAGTTGTGTGTGTGTGCATTTATCTGTTATCTACATGCTTCTCTGTCCTTGTCTTTTTGTGCACATCTTTCACCATGTTAACTAAAGTAGCGCCAGTGGCAAACCCTCTCCCCCACTCGTTGCCTGCTGCTGACCCGCCGCGACCCGCCCCCCTTTTTCACCACCCAGCCGGACCCCTCCCTAGTGTCGCCACTGATGGAGACGCTATACTGGCTCTTCACATCGTGCATAGAGCAGTTAGTCAGAACCGGGCTCTTCTTTAATGCTATTTGCTGCCAGCACTAACTTATACTTTTATAAAACACGTTGCCTGGCCAATGCCAAGTTTATGTATGAGAACAGTTAAAATGGAATCAAGTTGCAGGTCTCACTGAATGGCACCACCCTGTTTTTTGCTACAATACTCTTTTATTAACATCCATATATATTTTGGCGCTCTACAATGCACACACGGATTGCGCCATACATAACATTAGCGTATTAGATAGTCTCAGCGCCTTCTAGACAATGGGGCAAATTATCACAGTGCCCTCACACTTCCTTGACAAGCTTCAGTATATGCCTACATAGTGCATATTTCAAAAATACACAGACATTATAATCGTACACACATTACCAAGAATATTAAGCTCCTATAAATATGGATTGGGGGCAAAACAAAAGGCAGGATTTAGTAACACTGCTACAAGAATGAAACAAGGCATTTCCGATAAACCATAGAATGTAAACATTGTGACATCTGACCAATCATATCGTAAAAGACAGACACGTGCTTCAACATACATGCAGTTTAAAGTTCAAGAGCCAAGCCACACTGCAGACGGGGTACACATATTAGCGTATGGCAAAATTAAGCAACCTAAGCAACATTACATATGCACACAATGTTCTGTGAATCTCATTTGATCTGCCCATTCCTGAACATGCAACAAGACCTAGTAAGCTTACAACATGCAACAGCTTACATATGCGAGTGGCCCAATACACTTTTGCTTGTGACTTTAGCCAAACAAAACACTAAATGCACACTCAAACGCTGTGCCCAGATTTCGATTAGCACGTATAAAACTACACATCGTGTGCTTTGCTCACGCGTGACTACACACCATGCATAAGCCAATCTCTAAGAACCAAACTAGTCATGCATTCGCAAAATGCAACAAACTCAGTTCAGTAGGGAATCTGGTTCTGGTAGTACTGTATCATGTCATAGGTGCGCGTCCTGAAGTTGAGGAAGGAATCGCGGATGATCTTCTGCATGTAGGCGGCAGCCTCCTTCTCGGCGGCCAGGGGCGCAAAGCGTGCACGCAGCAGCTTGATAGTCTGGCCCCGGAAGCAGGGCAGGCCCGTGTCCAGCATTAGAGACACCAGGGTGACAATGTCCTCCCGGTGGGGGCGCACGGCAAGGTAGCCCTGCACGCAGAGTTCCATAAACCAGCGGAAAGGGGCGGCTTCCATCTTGCCGCCCATGATCATGACCATCTCGTCGGTGAGCTTGATGTCCGGTTCGAATCCCAGGTTCCCACCGGGCGAGCTCTCGAACATGAACCCGAAGTCGATGTGGATAATGTGCCCGTCAGTGTCCAGCATGATGTTGCCGTTGTGGCGGTCTTTGATCTGAAGCAGGAAGCCGACGACACTGTACGCTGCCATGCTCTTGATGAAATTACGGCGCGCTTCCCTGAACGCCTGGGTTTGTTCGTCGCCATACTTTTTTATGAAGTACTCGTACATGCCGATGTCGGTCTGTCGACCAAGCTGGTCCCTCGACTTGGCGTTGGGCACACACTCGATGACGCCACAACCGGGTCCTGTGGCCACAACGCGGTACGGGAACAAATACAGGTCAAGACCGACATGGTTGAAGATGTTCTTGAAAAGCGCAATCACTTGCAAGGCCAGCATGTCCTGTCGGACGTCGTCACCGACTTTGAATATCGCCGCTTGCCAATATTCGTGGGCGGCATTCATCTGAGGCATGCTTGTCTGCGAGATACTTAATGCCTTGGACTCGAGCTCTTTGATTCCACAACGTGAGACCTTAAAACGGGCTAGAAAAGGAGCCTTCGCAGCACTCTGCATTGGCGTGCCCGACTTGTAGTCAATATCCACGACCACTGCCTCCGGATTCGAGGGCAGGTAGCAACCAGGCTGAACGGCAATTTTGGCAAGTTCGGTGAGGCACGCTTTTTTTCGTTCTGCTCCCTTGGGGTAGACCCTTATTTCTCCCGAGATCGAAGTGATCTTCTGAAAGAAGTCAAACTCGCGTTCATAGAACTGTTTGGCAGGACCCGAGAGGGGGCCGGTGATGTGCCGCATGATGTTGTCGAAGTGTTCAAAGAGGTCAGGATCTTGCTGGTGACCCTCTTCGTCCAAGTACATGTTGGTCTTCATGTTCCAGATCATCTGATGCGCAAGCAGTTGTGATTTGCTGGCGGCAGTCTTGATGAACTCTGTCACGTAGCCCATGGAGTCGTAGCGAACTGCCTGCATGAGCTGCGGAATGTAGAACAGCACCGTGTCGGGTGGGAAGGATCCGAGCACGCGAACTGCGTACTGAGCGGTGATTGGGTGTGGTGAGAACTGCCTCGAAAAGTAGGCGAGCGCTTTGATGGGGGACACACGAGCCCAAGTGAGCATGTGGTTGAGTTCCATCTGGTCGCTGAGCACACTCTCTGGAGTTGTAAGATACTGGAGAGCCTCTGGCAGATGGCACACCACTGTAGGATTCTGCTGGACCAGCCGTGACACCTCGGCAACAATGGTGTCAGACGTCTTGAAGCGACACGGGATGTAGATGGCGAGGGTCGGAGACGTTTCCCAGGAGAGCCTAGCCACTTCCCTCATGGTTCGGTCGGTGACTGGCTGGCTTCTCCAGGTGGCGATAACATCTTCACCGGTGATGGTACGCTCCCAGGTAGACAAGGGGTTGTACCAGGTGATGAGGAACTCGATCTCAACGGCTAGGAGTCCGAGGATCAAATTGCGCTTCTTCAGGTAGTCCTTGATGAAGACTTCTGTAGACGGGTCCTTTGCTGCGGACCCCCTTCCAGCTGACGACCGCCTCGAGATTGTTGACATGTTGCTGCTCAATGGAACGGTGTTGATCCAGCCTGTTGGAGTGGACCGTGACTGCAGTACTTCTGTGCTGCCACGCAAGTCTTGGTTCATGATTACCGACAAGTTGCTTTGGGTACTGGTCTCCCAGATATCAGAGATAGTGGTGGCTTTGAGGTACTTTTTGTCCGCATGAACGGCTGACCAGAATTTGACGAGAACGTTTATGTCATCGCGAAGATCGGCCCCTTGCTGAGTAGGGCACATTTGAGGTCCACAGAAGTAATCAAGAGCTGCCGAATAGATGCGTTCCCGGAGCACGCTTTTCCCGATTCCTTGTGGGAGGACATCTCCCTGGAGCAACGAAAGGCCAGCTGTCAGCAAACGGAACTGTGTGCCTACGGCTGCAACGTGGCGGCAGCAGTGGTTGTTCCGCTGCCCGATACTGACCGAGAAAGATCGGTGAAGGATGTGGGCAAAGATCTCAACCTGATCAAGGCTGCTGTATTTGGCGGTCTCAATGCGTTCTGCAAGAAACCGCACCCAGATGGTATGTGGGGCTACAAAGGGTGGGTTTGGCTCCAGGGCTTGTCCTTCGTGACTTGCAGAAGGATCCAAATATGGTGGATCTTCGGAAAAAAGGCCAAGCTTCAAGTCCACAGTCATGTGCCATGCTGCAGACATTTCTTGCAGAAACTGGAGTTCCAGGTCAGGCCTGGCAGCGAGAAGCCATTGCCAGCAAGACACCGTGCTTCTCACCACTTCATCTGTGAAGAGCTCAACTGGAGACCAGCACAGAGCATGCAGTAGTGCTCTGTCAGTTCCAGATTTATGGATTAGCAGTGCACAGACCCTAAAGATACACTCTTTGTGGATGTGCTCATCCTTTTTCTCCCAGCTGGACTTTAGTTGATTAAGAAGACGAGATGAGAGTTCTTTGTGCATGGCATCAATGTCTTCAGCACCCATTAACAAGCCTGTTATCTCTCCCGCAAAACGGCACCGAAGACCCATCGAGCAAACAAATTCTGAGCAGTTGTTCTTGACACAAGTGGGCCACTTGTCCAGCGTGGACAGTGGCAATGGTGCTGAATAAGTGTTGAGTCCTGCAAATTGGAGTACACTCTCTATTGCTAAAGCGACCCCACTGTGCTGAATGAGACCATCTGCAGTGTAGGAGTAGCAGGCTAGGTACTCTTCAAGATGGGAGCGTGTGATTATGGGTGCCCACTTGACCGCCTCTTGTACGATACCCTGACACCGTGCTGCAAAGTCCTGGACAATGCTCTCCCTTGCCTCGAGCGTGTCTGTAAGGGTTAGGACATATGGCGTCCCCGGAACCGGAAGATCTGAGATGAGCTCATTAGGATCTAGCTCGAGAGACTTGGCAAGAACGTGGAGGATGTTCAACATTGTCCACAGTACCTTTCCACTCCAGAGGAGATGTGGAAATGTGTCCACGAGGGCAGAAAGGTACTTGTCTGCAACACGCCGAATCTGCTTCTGAGGGTGGTTGAACTTAAGGAGGAGGAATGTAGCATGCTTCTCCAACTCTTCATCCCTTTCTTTCTTCTTGGGCTTGTTGGACATGACATCCAGGAGGGCCATGAAGACCTTGTCTGCAACAGCCATGATACACTGCCACATGCCTGCCTTGTCTTTCTGGATTGTTGAGAACTCCATGTACTTCATCATGTTCTGAAAGTTGTTTTCCCCATGTAGGTTCTGCACCCTTAAAGTTTCCAGCCTAAGGACTGAGAGAAGGTAGGTACACTGAGAAAAGTTGAGCTTGTTAACCACAGCGCTGACATCCTGTGAGTGTTCAGACTTGAGCTGCTTCAAGATCTGGTTCTTGAGCTCTTGGAGCTCCCCCAAAGAGACTGTGTCATTGCGGATAGCCGAGTTGTACTGCAGCACCGAACGTAAGTGCTCCTTGGAGACCAGCAAAGGAGACTTGGCAGCAATCTCTCGCACACCGTCATACCACTCCCGGGGCCACAACCCTGACTCCGAGGTGAACCCCATGACCACAGAGTAGAGCCAAAAATCCCAGAACAGCTTGTGCAGCCTGGGCTTAGGGTCCATGACTGGGGGGAGGCGTCGGATGAGCACGGCAATCACTGGGATGAGGACCCCTAGGTTTCCAGCACTGCTGGAAGCCTTGAGGGCAGTCTGTTTTTCGCTGGCCCTCCGGCCCTCCAGCCCCAACTGGACAAATAGTTCCAGCAGAGTCCCTAGGAGCTCTAGCTGGTCTTCCTCTCCTTGTAAGCTGGCTGCAACATTTGCCAGTGCATTGATGACAGCCAGGGAGACATGGCGGTAGCCCTGCTTCCTGTCCTCAACGCTTCCCACGTTATACGCAGAGCTGGACTCCACAGTGATCATGGCAAACATTTTCATCACCTCCTCGTACACAGTATGGTCCACTTTTGCTATCACCATGCAGCCCAGCTGATCGATGATGAGTGAGTCGAGGGGGGATGCAGGCTGGCAGAACTTCTGTTGGAAAAACTGCAAGATGGACTTAGTGGTCTTGGGGGTGTCTTTTAGCGCCACAGCGACATGACCCAAGGCGAGGATTGTATTGGTGGCCACCAGTCCTGGCTCGGGGTCCTTGGTCTCTGCTTGGTAGAGTCGGTTAGAGACTGACGCAAGAAAGGCTTGTACGCACTCGGGGTCCAGCTGCAGTCCAACCTTCAGGGCTCGACATAAGTTCTCAATGGCCGTGTCGCGAAGCTTCTCATAGGCCACTGCAGAAGAAGACAGGGTGGCAGTCTTGTTGTTCACCTGTGAGGACTCTGCAACACTGATGCCTGTGGCTCCTGCTCCTCCAGACCTGGATGCCAGATTGCTGTTCTGGAAATGGAGCTTTGTCAGGATGGGAGAAGAGTTGACCAAGAAGTCTCGAAGAGCAGAGATGCTGGTCTGCGCAATGTTGGGGAACTTCTCGGCTAGCTTGCCAAATCCCTCGAGACAAACGAGCAACAGTGGCATATGTCCCAAGGCTAGCTTGAGGTTGCAAGGAGTGTGGATTTTTTCGTACAAGTATGTGCACAAGGTCTCCGCCCCATTCTCATCAATCGTGGCCCAGACGAGCAAGTCGACGCAAGCGGCATTGGCTTGGACATTCAGCTTGAAGCGGTTGGCAGTGGTATAGTTGGACTCCCTGTCTTCCCGCTCGCTTGCATCATGGTTCTTGCTCTGCAGTTCCGTCTGCCCGTTCAGAAACAGCACTTTCACAAACTCCTGGACGTCTTTCGTGAAAGGGGCCGGGTGCCCTGTCTGATGGCACAGCAACTCTTGCAGCAGCACAAGCATCACCAGGTTGAGAACTTCGCTGAACGACTTGTAGGGGAAGACCTTCAACTGCCCCGAGCTGTACACTTCCGCAGCTTGAGTGTCCAAGAAATGCAAGAGATCCTTGACGAGAAGCTTCTTGGTGACACCAAGGATGGCCTGCAGCTTGCTGATGGAGAGCATCAGCGGGTTCTGGATCTTGGGTGTGCCTTGCATCTGCGAGTAGCTGGAGCCGTACTTGCTGAAGAAGTGGGTGGTGGCGTCGTAGCTGACGGAAGACTGGCTCTGCACCGACGACCTCCTGGACACCTCGTCATCGTCCTCGTAAGACTTGTCTCGGCCGTGCGCCAGCTGGCTCAGCTCCGACAGAGAGCACGGGATGATGGGCCGGAAGTTGTTGAAGGTCCGGCGCTTGGGCAGCGTGTTGCCCGAACTGCTGCTGCTCCGCTGTCTAGGGGCGTCCTCGGTGGAAAGCACAACCTTCTCCGGCGGGGGGAAGATCTGGCAGAAGAGCGGCGGCGCCGACGCTTTGGCGCGTCCCACGGCCCGAGCCGTGCCGATCAGTAGGGGCACGATGGACCGGCACAGCGTCACCTTGCCCGTGCTGCCCCGGGGAGTCTGCGCGTCGGCGAAGCTCTTGCAGATGTTGACGAGCACCGCGAGGAAGTCGATCTGGGCGCTGATGATCTCCTCGCGGAGTTCCTCGCACAGGTAGGCGATGTCGCTCAGAAGGGTCGCCAGGCAGAAGGCGAACCGCTCGCACACGGGGATGCGCTCCTGGTCGCTGTGGCGCACTTCGTCGAGCCACACCGCCTTGCCGAGGCCGCGGAGCAGTCGGAGCAGGTATGGCACGATCTTGTCCTTGGCCTGGAAGCCCGACTCGAGGAAGTAGATGCCCGTCGCGATGACGGCGTCCTGCCCGCGCTGATCGATCCGGAAGTTGCCCTGCGGCAGTTCCTGCGGGCACAGACGCAGCAGGCTGTCCAGCTTCGAAGGGGGCGTCGGCTGCATGCAGGCCAGAGACCGCGCCAGGTGCTGCACGGCCTGGCAGAAGAACTTGCGGTCGCTGCACGCGATCGCCATGGTCACGGACGGCCTACTGTCGTTCGGCGGGGGGTTCCGTCGGCGCGATCACTCGCGGCTCGGGCCGATCGGGCGTCGTTTCGAGGAAGCTCGTTCTTGACGTTGGCGGGCCGTGTAGATCCGTGAGCGAATCCCGGCCTAGCCGAGGTTTGCTCACCATACTCGAGTTCAGCGGCGATTAATCTACACGGAAGTGGACAAAACAAACACTGTCAAGCGCACTGCACCACAGCAAGCTGCATAAACACACGACTACGCGGAAAATGGGGGACAATTCATGCTTGTTTCATTGGTTTCATTTTCATTTCGCGTTGTTGCTGGTAAGTTCTGCCAGGTTCCGCCACCATCGCGCTGCTGTGTTTGGGTTTCGATGATCGATATTCAATTTCGAAAAATTCTACGCTCCTTTTCTTTTTTCATTCGGATTAAAGCATTCGTACCTTTAATCCTGCGCATATTTTAACTTAAAAATCGCCATAAATCGATAAAAAACCAAAATCATAAGCGCAGTGTCTGTCTTTTAGACCAAGCTGCAAGCACCAAGGGCAAGGTTAACCTTGATTGACAGGGGGACGAGGCGGCGCCAGCGGCGCAGCGTCAACGTTGTCATCGACCATGCGGCAGTCGCGTATATCTTTTCTTTTCGCCCTTCTTCAGCGGTTCAGCCCGAATCTGGCGTTTTCGGCGCAGGGCATGTTTCCTTGAGGGAACCTTCGGATAAGGGTGAGTTGCTTCCAAGCCTCCGCGTGCAAGCTCGCCTCCTTCAGCCAAGTTCCGGATCGAAGCCAGCCTCGGCGCCTTTTCTTTCTCTAATAAGCACAAAAGCAAGTGCTTACGCCGCTCATTCGAGTTGCAAAACTTCTAGAACCGTTTCGTTTTTTGCAGCTCGGAACTACAGAGTCGCGTTTGATCGTGCTCATTCTTTTTCCTCGCGTCTACGCCGATCCTTGCGACGATCAGCTGTTCTCTGTTTTGCTGCTGTTAAACTATGCGTTTCTGTCCATTGCTCTTGCGTTTGTTGCGTAAAATTGACGGCTGTCTAACGATTAGCCAGGTGCAGATTGTAGCGGTTTGGCTGGGTCGTGCGATCGGCCAGTTACAGATGTTCACTGCCTTTCCGCTGCAGGGTGGGCCCCAGCCGTGGCAATACTCGTTCCCCCCAAGCTGTGCCTTCTTGCCTTGATGCTGCTTACGGTAATACTGTGCGACTATTTTCGCGGCTGCTCACGGTGCCCTCTACAAGAATGCCTGCCCGAGCCGGTGCCCGGCTCGTCCTCCTGCATTGTTCGCAGTTGTGACGCAAATGCATAACATTGGCTGCACGCAGTGGGGATTTCGTTGGAAGACGAACCGTAAAAATCGGCGCCTCCACATAGAAAGTTCAAACTTTCACCGAATGCGCACTGAGGAGGTCAGTTTTACCTCCCCAAATTTGTTTTTTTTGTTTCTTTAACTCGGGAGAGTTAGGTCACTGCTAGCAGGCATACCGAAAGGTTTACAGTGCCTCTTAAGCAAAGAAGAAAGAAAGCTATACAAAACAAGGGGGGACGGGAGAAGGTTCACCGGCTACATAAACGCTACATAAGTCACACACTCAATTGTTTTGCAGGTAGGTTGCAACGTTTCTGGTCAATGTTCATATGGAGGTCTGGTTATTTCGTGCTGGGTTGGTGATCGATGTGGGAGGGGACTTCCAGAGTCGTACCGCGTGGGGGCCGAAGGAGTGGCGGATGGTTAACAGGGGCCGTAGGCCGCCGAGTGCGCCGCAAAGAGGAAGCCAAGGGAAGCGTGGAGTTTGATAGCAGAGAGTAGACAGGGGGCGTGCCGTCGCTACTTGACGTCACAGTTTTGAAGCTGGTCCCTAGAGCACTGCACGGGCCAGCCTCGAGGCCTGGGCTCGGGCTTGAGCAAAATATATTTCGGGCCGGCCCAGGCTATGGCTGGGCAGTCATGTGTCGCAAATTTTAAATTGTTGATAACAAAAAGTGTGCTTATTGATCTTTTAAGTTCAATAAAAACACAACAACCTCATTCAAAAGAAAAAGAAATGACGCTTTGTGTGGATAAAAGAAAACGTATGGACTCCCCCAGCATAGTGGAAAAGTGCGGTGAAGAAAACGAGGGCACTCCAGTCGCAGGGTGACACAGGAGCATCTTTTCCCTCTGCCTTTCAAACTGGAAAGAAAAGAAAAAACGTCAGCTTGACTTTGTACTTTGTGCAGGGGCCTTACTCTTCCCCCAAAGATAAGCTAACTACCATAGATGATTTTATTCTTATACAGCCTTTTAAAGATGCACTAGCTTGATTCTGATTGTTTCTTCACAAAACCACGTAGAGAGGAAAGTTCTTTGTGAAACGAATGAACAACGAAAAGTCCAATATCTCTTCAAGAAATGCATAAATAAATTATTGCCCGCTTGTTTTTCTTCTCAAAACCACTTATGAAGTGCATATCTTGCCCATATTCTCGAAAATACATTGTCTAAGTCGGGATATTTATCGCATCAAGAAAACTTGGTCCAAGCTTAAAAATATAAATCAAATAAGCTCGCTTTATGCTTAGGCAGTTCCTAAGTTAAAGCCTGCAAACTTTTTTGGGTTTCATGCATATAATCTGTCGGGCTTGGGCCAGGCTCAAGCTTCTGTCTAAAGATTCTGCCAGGCCCAGGCCGTCATTCTACCGGGCCGGGTCGAGAAATTCCGGCCCATGCAGTACTCTACTTGTCCCAGCCGACCAGTCTGAGGACAATATTCCGCTTACAATATTGTATACAATATTTTAGGCGGAATGGTTCCTTTTCTGTAAAAAATGAGACTAACAAACTTGTCAAAGTCAACGGCGGGCTTTTTGTAGCATGACAAACTGCAATCCTGACGTGCCGACAGAAGAGTGTGCCTGCGCGCGCCTTGTAGTACAGCCCGTGGCCGCTGCGTTTCGTCACGCTATGACTTTGCGGTGCTACCCAAAAATTGGTTCGTTTCCTAGGGTGTCCGCGTATCAAACGAAGGCGTGCAAGGAGTGGTGGCACTATCTGGTCCAGACCTTCTCTCCTTGCGACTTCTTGTCAGGTTCTTCAGCCTAGTCAGTCAGTGGGTGTGTGACAGGTTCGAATCGTCACTACTGGCACCGGCTGGCAACACAGTGGCTATTTATGGATGATCCAAGAACTCGCTTATTTCGACGATGGCACGAGAGCGGTCGGGGCTAAAAACTGCCCTTGAGCTTCTGTGCCTGAGAAATGTGCCCTTTCGATCCAAGGAAACGTGAGAGCGATGTGTCCTGCTGCAGTGCTGCTATGTGCTACTGCAGCCTGCTGGCGCTACGCTACGGGTGTTCCCGAGAAATAGACGTCACCAGCAGCGTGCCGTGCGGACCCTGCGCTAGACGGGCTGCGAACCGCCTTTCGGTCGCGGGAATGTTCAAAGAAAAGCCTTTACTGAGCGTCCCAAACTGCAAAGCGAGGCACTCCATCGGCAACAGCGTCTCCCATGGGGACTATTCTGCGGATAAGTCAGGATTACAATAGATCATGGTTCGTAGTAGACCAAACTAGCGACGAATGTTACTCGTGGCGCCATCTTCCGAAATCTGCAGACAACAGAGTGCGTAGTCTACTCGCTGCGCCTGTCGGGAGGTAAGGCCATAAGTTATGCTCATCGCTAATTCGGTCATCTGGGATTGTGTCCTCTGTTCATTTTGACAAGCTTGTCGATTTCATTTTAGCAGAAAGAGGACGCCTCGAAATTTAGAGGCAAAACAGACTACCTCGGTGCACATTCAGCAAAATTGTAAGCTTTCTACGTGTAGGTCGATTTTCCCAGCTCATTTTACAGTCTAATGTTCACTGTGCACACAATGTGCGTGGCTTGCACGTGACATCAATCCGCCCCTCTTTCTGTTGGCCAGAAGCGCTTCGTTAATGCGGTGAAAGCTACTGTCTTTTCCCCATTACGTCTGACCAAGTGACGTCGGTGGAAGCTACGTATCCCTATTTCCACCAAGTCCAGACTTAGGAGCTGAGCCACTGATATAACCGTACTGTTGTCTCTGGACTGGCTTTGCTGCATTGGTGTTCAGTGCGTAGACAGGACTTGGCTTGCTCGGAGTAGAACAGAAACTGTGTTTCTCCCCACGTCTAAAATGCAGATTTCCTCTCCGGCAGCAGTGGCTGTACTCCGCTTTAAGTGCGAGTGCAACGGAACCTATAAGAGCGAGCTCCAGGCTTTTAGCGTCTCTGCCGAGCACATGCTCTCGTAGTGCAAATATCGTTCGGGGGGACGTGCTTGTGCTTGTAGCTTCAACTTTGCTCGCACATCGAGTGGAAGGAAGTACATTGTTTCGTTGAAAAGGTAACCGTTGGCAAGTCGTGTTCCATCCAGGCACAGTGCTCCCAAAGTTTCATCCGTGGTTACGGACAAAAGAACAAAAGCCTCGTTGATGTAAGGCGCCGGAAGGTCTTGCGTCTGAAATTCTGCTACAAACGGTAGTTTGGGGCCGTAGCCGCCTCAAAATAATTCGGAGCGGATTTGGGAAACAAAAAGGCTGTCAAGTTGGAGATACATTGGGCCGAAATTTGAGAAAACTGGCGAGCTTGGTGCGTTTTTTTCTATTATGACTTTGTGAGGCCCCAAGAAGCTAATTTACTCATTGTAAACCTGGAGTATTAATTTGATGCGCTTATTTTTAAATAATTATTTCGAGGGTTTATCGTTTCATTCTTTGTGTCTGGCATGGCGATGAGCGGGAACTGGGAGAGGACCTTTGGACCACAGTGCTGCCGAGCAAAGTGAAAGGCCGGTCTGGGACAGCACCTTTGGTGGTACTTTGCGGCGTGCACGGTTGCCTCGAGTCATCATGTTGCAAACTCACGCCAAGCACCGCTTTGTAGGGGGCGCCACGGCTTTACCTCGCTGGTGGTGCGGGGCGCTGAAAGCATAGTTCTCGCACGGCGTAGCTCGGTGCATAACGGGAACCCTCCGTGGAAAACGCGTTCGGTACGGTTCATAGGTTGTTCAGGGCCGTACGATCGCTGCCGGCACATCTCCCTGCGAGTGACGGGCTCCACCTCTCTGCAGGCTTGGCAGGATGCCTGGGAAAGTGCGGGTCAAGCTCCTGGCCGCCAGAAACCTGCCGGTCATGGACAGGGCGAGCGAGGCTTGCGACGCCTTTGGCGAGGTACGGGCAGAAACTGGAAGGCGGGGCTAGCGCCTCTACGCGAGCTACTCTTCGGAGTGTTGACGCTCCGTTTCTCCGACCATCTCGTGGGCGCCGCCATTTTAAACCTTGGTGCAGAGTGTGCGCAGTCGAAGAATGCCACCTTTTAAGCTACGGGGTCAAGGAGCTCAGGCGACGTCGTTTTGCTCCGTCGCGAGCTCGCATCTGGAGAATGGAAGAGCGGTTCCTGCGATTTCCGACGAAGCTTGCGATAACTGGCAGCGGCGATTCTAAGTGGGAAGACGGCCGAGGAGACATTACTTTGAAGAGTAGCTCGTTCAGTAGCTTAAAGGGGCACTGACACATCAAAATCATATTTTTTTTTATTATCCGAAACGATTGAAAACGATGCCGGGACATTACCCTCAAAATTTGAGATTTAGGAATTCAGTATTCGTGAAGTAAAAAAACAATTTCCAAATGCCGAATTCGAAGTTCCCGCGCGATCGGCGCCGGTGCCTTGACGTCAAAAATTGCGGAGACCTGAGAGTCGACTTCCTTTCACCACTCCCTGCTGTTGCCATGGCGACCCAAAGTGAGGAGGAAAGGAGCGAGCGCCCGGCGTTGCGGCGGACCGGTTTTGAGCGGTGTCGCCTGTTTTCCGTTGGAGGATACAAATCCAGGAGACGGCACCACAACGAACTCCCGATTTTTGGTATTTCAAAAAGAAGGGCCGTAGTGCGTTCGCAATTGCGTTAAAAAACATGTTTTAGGATTGCCGTAATTAAATGTTATAGAGATGTCGCCTAGAAAGCTTCTAAATTTCCTGATTTTTGACGTCACCGATCAAAAGAAGCGAGGAGGCGAGAGGCGGGAAAATCAAACGCCAAAAATAAAAAGGCGCGCGCGCGCGCGGGAAAATTTTTTTTCGCGATGCGTTTTTTTTTGCGTGTCTATGACTGCAACTTGCATCGTTTTAGACAATAAAAATAAATACGACCTTTGGGGTAACAGTGCCCCTTTAAGGGGCCGGGTTTTATCGCAACGTCGACTTCGTTTCTTGGCGGGAATCGAGCTGAGAAACTTTAGGGTCTATAGTCCGACGCTCTACCCTTGCAGTGCAGCTTGGAAAGGTGTCATTTCGGCTGCTCTTTGGGATGTTTCTCGAAATGGAAGCCAAGTCGCTCCTGCAAAATGTATGCATCCCAGAGAAAAAACATAGACGTTTTATTGATTTCTGTAGAAAATGAATAATGTTTGGTATGATTAGCTTTTTAATTACTTTTGAGTAACTAACTTTTTAGTTTGTAAATTTATATGCTTGGTTTCAATTAAAAAATTTCTAGGCATCGTCGAAAACCAGTAAATTGGTACACTTTACGGAAATATATGGCACAAGGAGCATTTTAGGGCGTTTCGAAAAAGCACTAAATTTGGATGCACTTTTAATTTCCTATCGAAAGGCATCTTCGCACCGGCGGTCCTACACTCCCACGGCCGAAGCGTGCACTAGTGTGCGCTGCCACGCATTCTTTGCATGACGGAGGTGAACCCAAGAATGAAAGCTCACACTTTTATTGTCATTTGAATGGTGCAGCCTTTTGATTTTGCCGGCTCATGTCGCTCTTTCTCCTCCTACAAGGGAGGCGAGTCAGTAGCGTGCTTTGGCCACGGGTAGCAAAACCACCGGCGCAAAGATACGATAGAAAACTGAAACCTAGAAATGCGTCCCAATTGAGTGTTTTTTGGAAACACCACTAGACGCTGCACATGCCTTTTAATTGTTATAAAGTGCACCAATTCAGTGGTTTTCGATGATGGCAAAAATGTTTGTAATCGAAACCGGACCTTTAAATTAAGGAATTGAAATGTTAATTACTCAAAAGTAATAAAGTTAATTATACTGAATGTTAATAATTTTTAAAAATTTTCCTAAATAGGCCCTTTTGGTTGAAACTATTAGGACATGAACCTTTTCCCTGCGTGATGCATATTGTGGGAGCAGCAATTTGACCCGCATTTCTAGAAACTCCCTGTTTATGTTTTTTGTACTCGTGTGGCCGCAAAACATTTGTGGAACAAGTGTTGGGAGAGGTGACAAGATCATGCATTCACTATGTCACTCTCATCTGGGCGCTTGGGGTCCCTTGGTGTCTTTGAAGGCCTTTTTAGGGTCTGTGAAGCCCTCTATCGTCGGTAAAGGGGAACACTTTTTTCGATCGATGGTGGCTGTCCCACGTAACTAAAAAGACTAAACCGTGCATGCCAAGGAGTAGGGTCGATTATTTTGCGATTCTAAGCTTCAAAGTTAGTTTTTTTATTTTAGCCTTTTGCCATCGAAATCATCCTGTCCGCACTGTCCTTTCGTGCGTGGGGTCCCCCCGTCTCTTCCACCTATCCAGAAGGGGTCCGTGGTTGAGAACCATTGCACTTTGTGTTAATCTCGCGAGCATTCCAACTTACATGTCCACACATGGTCCCATTTCACTATTGGTTACGGGAAAATATATAAATTAGGGAAAATATTCTGTCGCGCCATACACCTTTCTGGTGCTCGATGCTTGAAATGCCGAGTCAGTGGGCTGCGGATGCACACTGAGAATCGGCAAGAGTACTGCACATGCTCGCACCTTTCACGGCCGGTGGACAGAGATGTTGATGGCAGTTTGCAGATATAGACCATCATTGCGACGGTCTATAGCAGCCCCCAGAGTATTGCCGACTTAGTATGTAGGATTCCGATGATGTTTTTTTTTTTTTTTGTCAACCTAGCGTCAGGAAATAAGCTATGCTCAAAGTATTGCCACTCCCTTCCTCGATTTCTTGTGGACGCCGCCATTTCGGTGTTTAGTGCAGACCGGGAGCAATTGGCGATCGTTACAATTAAAAAATGGCACTTCCCGATTTTTACTACTGTGTCAGAAAGCTGGGGCGACGTCAATTTGTTATGTCCCGGACTCTTTGAACCTTTTTTTTTTTTTTTTTTGAGTTGAAAAAAGCATTGCCTGCAATTTTGGATATACAACTTGGGATAATTGGCAAGGAGAATTTTGAGTGGCAGATGGCTTGAGTTGGGTTACTCTAGCGTGGCTTGCTCGGTGGCTCCGAGGCGAGAGCGCCTTCCTACGGATCCCCAGGTGGCAGGTTCGAATCCCGACCGAGGTGCCCGCAATATGACGGAGGCTTATTGCGGAGAAGGCGCCGTGTAACCGAGCTTTCGGTTGCACATCAAAAGGTCCCCAGGTGGTCGAAATTAATCCTCAGTCCTCCGCTGGGGCGTGCCAGATGCCCGTCGTAGGTTTGGCACGTAAAACCCTCAAATTTGACTTTTTGACTTTTTTTCGGTGGCTGTAGGTGAACCCGGCTACACCCCTACGAGGCTAGTGCTGTGCACCAATGATGCGTGCTGCAGCCTGCCATCTTTGTCGACTCGGCTGGAGAACGCATTCCGAGCGTGCACCATTGTCTGCGAAATTTCGGACTCCGCACGTGCCTTCACGGCCCATCTCTCGGCATAATAAAATGAGAATGGGTTAAATTTGGAAAGTACTAAAATAACTGGCTGCACGTGAGCACACGTGTCTTATTGTGTGCACCGCCGCGTCGAGTAGCAGCTTGCGCCACTACAACCAAAAAAAGCGCAAAAATTACACGAAGGACGAGCGAGAAAAATGTACATGACAAGCGCTTGCTTGTCGTGTACTTGTTGTGTACGCCACCTAGCCGGCAGTGGACGAAAAGGGCACTTGGGTCCATGTGTGTTTTTTCATCACCGTCTCTCGAAAGTTAGTAGATTCTAAATTTGTTAAAATTGAAGCAATATTTTTAGAACCAGATTGTTCAAGTTTTCGGTCTGCAAAAATACATGGAGGTATGTAGCACCTGCGGAGAGATATGAGCACCATTTGGGAAATCAATTTTAAATTCTTTATCCGATATAATTAATTTTAAAAACTTTTTATATTTCTCGGCATTGGCAATACATTCGGGTGGATCTCCAGGTTTCTGCAACACATAGTTTCTCTTAACTGCACAGAAACCACAGCTCAATTTTTTAGGCTGGCGCCCCGCATATCTGTTCGGGCCACATATTGTCACGAATGGCAATTGATGGGGCGACGAATTACTGACGGAAGCTAATTGTCTAATGGGGCAAACTTGTGCCCAAAACAAAACACCAGAAAGCTAGCATCAGAGGGGTCGATGGCACTGTAACAGCAAGATCGAGCGCTGGGGTGAGACTGGCCCCGGCTTGCCATGTGAAATTCCTTGTGTACGCGCTTGCGCTTCTGGAACAATCAAAGCTAGCTTACTTCATATTTTCACCCGGTTTGCTTTCGCATTTAGGCAGGCTAAATCTCGGGATATTATGGAACTAATGTTTCGCCGCGGTGGGCAAATTTGCGCGTGTGTGGTGCGAACAACGTGTTTGAATGTTACAGGTTAAACTGGGCAATACGTGCTTCAAGACCGAGATATGCAAGAAATCGCTGAATCCGCAGTGGAACTCGGACTGGTTCCGTTTCGAGGTGAGTTTGAGTTTCTGCAAAATTGGCGGGTCTGGTGTGCTTTGTGAGAAGGAAGCACCATCCAACGGGCTCCTCGTTGTGATGTAGGATCACTCGACCATCTCTGAGCTTTGTTGGGAGCCTGTAGCTCGAAGATCTTCGTTCATAATTCACCTTTCATTGGCTATTTGGAGCGAGTGTTTAGGCATGGCTGTACCTGAGACAGGGAAGTATAAAGGAAGACGTCTGGAAAGGACAGTTTGTGTTGTCTTCGTTTTTCTTCCCTGTCTCAGACTGTCAAGTATTCACCAACTTGCCTGTGCACTTTCTCTCCTTTTAGAGTTTCTTTTGGCACAATCTTTTCTTCGTACTGCACGTCACAGTTAAACGCTCCTAGCTTCAGAGGCTTAGTGGCAGTAACTTTTTGTGCTCGTCACTAACCTGTACGAGCCAAGTGCTTCCGAGCCTGTATCTTGGACTTGCGCCAACGTCGCGGAGACTGGATTCACGAAAATAACTTCGGAGCACTTGCCGAACATCTTTGCTCCAGCCGCATATGGAAGGTCTTCATCTCGAAAGTGCGCACTTTTGAGCTCTAAGCTTTCCATACTCAGCTTCATAAGTTCGTTGCTCTTTGTGCTGGTGCTAGATGTGGAAACTGACATTTGGGTCAGTCGCGCAAGACCGGCTTCATGACTCCCAACAGCACCCAACCATGGCTTCCTGGGTGCGAAAGCGGTCAAAGCCGAACCAAGCGTTTATGAATGGAACTTCGGGTACAAATGCTAGAATAAGACAGTTGACAAAGAAAACAGTTTCTGCATTAAATTGCAGAACCAAAGCAAAGTGGAAGGAATACCTTGCCCCGTTGCACAGTCTCTACGTGACAGTTGAGCTATTGTGGGGCTTTCGTCACCCTCAGTAAATGTTGCGACATGTCTGCAGGGACGCATGCTGTTATGTCGGGGGGAGACGTCGTACCTTACTGACTGCAGCCACGTCGTCTACGAACGAAGTTTTTCCTTTGCAACAGGTCGTGTGATCGGCCGGTCACTGTGATCTCCAGAAGGGTTCCATTGACTGCGGGCATACCTTGGCAAGCCTCACTCATGAGGGCCCTCACTTACCCTCACTCACCCCATCTTCACGGCTGAAGTGAGGGTGATTGAGTTTCTGAACCAGGAAAATTCATGAGTGTGAGGGTGAGTGAGGGTGCTGTGAGGACCGTGAGAGCTTGAGGGCCGTGAGGGCGGTGAGTGCGTGAGGGGTGTGAGGGCTGTGAGTACGTGAGGGGCGTGAGGGTGGTGAGGGATGTGAGGGCCATGAGTGCGGGAGGGGCGTGAGGGCGGTGAGTGCGTAAGTGGCATGAGGGCCGTGAGGGTGGTGAGTGCGTGAGGGCCATGAGTGCGTGAGGGGCATGAGGGCGGTGAGTGCATGAGGCACCCTTCAAACGGAGCAACTTTCTCAGCAATTTTGATGTTGCTGGCAAGTTGTTCCCTAGCTTTCCCTGGATCGACACGAGTTGCTGAGATCGGGTCCGGCTCGAAACAAGCGAGCAACCCGGAGCAATACAAACACATTTGAAGCGGCTGCATCCAATCAGGGACACGAGATTTTCACGTGATACCTCGTGCCGGTGATGATGACAACAAAAGACTTGGTTCTCGTTTGAAATTGATAGTTTTTGGAAATAAACTGGTTCAGAAAGATGCATTAGTGTCTTCAACAAGATTTAAATGCATAAACACACGTTTATAGCTTGTTATTGTGTGTCTAAATAGTCCAAGAGAAATAAAATTTTATGATGATGATGGCAATAGCAATTGGTTTCTGCGTGTGAACGCGGGCGGCCCATGTTGCTCGTGTTGCGACGTCAAGTTTCTGCGCAAAATTGCCCCATCTGGCGGGCCTGAGTGGCTTGAGGGCCGTGAGGGCAGTGAGTGCGTGAGGGCCATGAGTGAGTGAGGGGACGTAAGGGCGGTGAGTGACGTGAGGGGCGGTGAGTGGCGTGAGGGCTATGAGTGAGTGAGGGGCGTGAGAGCGGTGAGTGGCGTGAGGGCTATGAGTAAGTGAGGGGCGTGAGAGCGGTGAGTGGCGTGAGGGCCATGAGTGAGTGAGGACCATGAGGTTCACTGAGGGTGAGTGAAGGGCTGAAGGGGAGTGTGACTGTGAGGACGATGGTGAGTGAGGGGCTGAAGGTGAGTGTAGCTGTGAGGGTGAGGGGCTTAGGCAAGTGTGGCTGTGAGGGTGAGGGTGAGTGATGGCAACCTAAAATGCCGACCTCTGACTGCTGGCGATAGGGCGGCAGTAACTTGATGGGACGAGGGAGTGACTGCGCCAAGTGCTTTAGCGCTTTCTGTTGTCACTCCCTCACCATCCTCGTTAAATTATTGCCACTTTATCCTAGGCAGCTAGCTCGTTTGTCCGTTCTAAAGAAACCTAGTGAGGTGCTGTTCTCGAATTTCTCTATTGTTTCCTCAAAGCTCGAGGGCATGACGGGGCAGCGAGAAATAGCCGTAATAAATGGAGTGCACTTAGCGAACAAAGCTAGTGAGGGATGTGTCTCCGGCAACAGGTAGCGTTACGAAGCACTCACGAGCGCTGAAACACCGGGAAATGCGCGTTGCTCGCTTCTTCAGCCTTTAGTGAGAGAATGGGGCCAACTCGTGCGTGCGGGACGATGGGGGTCTGCGTGGTCTGGCTGGTCCTGTGCTCACTCGAGGCAGCATTTCCAGCTGCGCAACTTCTATAGACATTGACTGTCTTTTTTTATTCAGATCGATTGATTTAATAGATGCATTTAGAGTCCTTATTTCGATGCCGTTTTCAGGCACGCGATGCTATCTAGGAGTGGGTAAGAAGACGACGTTCATTCATTGAATTTTAGTTTCGATTATTGCAGTGAGTCGAACAGGTGGGGATTATTTGCAGGTGCCTATCGGTACATTCCGTTTTGCGCGCCGAGGGAATTTATTGCCTCCGTGAGCTTCCGCGGACATGCTGGGGGCTCGTTCCAAACACATTAGTTTTAATCCGCAGGGTGTCAACCTTGCGGATCAATCTCGGTATAGTGCTACTGAGTAGCGCAAAACGCTTCAGTCGGGGCTTCGGGGAGCAATGCAGTCGTCGCGGGGGCGAGCCTTTTTCAACGCAGAACAGGAAGTTTCGCACGGAGGTTTTTCAAACTTTCGGGATTTGTCTCTAGAAGAGTTAGATAGAAAATGTAAATTTTGAATTTTTTTCCTCCTCGCACCGCATGAAGCACGACGAATTAAAATAAAAACTTCCGCATTGGTTGGGCGAAATTGTACATTACATTTTTCTTTCTTGCGCTCTATAATAAATATCTCATTTGACATTTACATTTTTGAGAATTTTTTTAGCTACATTTTGGTATGCTTTGTTACAGCTCGTAGCGAATTTTGTGGCTAAACAATTTTTGACTAAAACCACCTCATAAGAGGCTTTTTTTTTGCTGTTAGGAAAGGAAACCTGCGCCTTCTCACTTGAGGATTCCTTTTCGACGCTGCAATATTATTGGCTGTGATGATAAAATGCTCGGGACTTGCCCCGTGTTTGTTCCCTTCTCTACTCCCTTAAAGGGATGCTATCACATTCAGAAAGAAGTAAAATGCGATCAACGCGATCTGTAAATGACAATCTCACATTTGTGTTTTGTAAGGATGACTACATTTTTTATTTTATTTTCAGTACCACGGGGAAAAGTGGCAATTTTGGGGGTATGGACAAAACATATTTTGTTTTATGAACTAGTCGACATATGCTTCATTACGATAAATCGAGATGGATCCAATGAGCTGCTCTTCGGAAGAAAAGGTTTATACTAATGTCTGAAAATAATTCGTCAAAATTAAATGCTAAACTTGAAAGTTTTGCGAAAATTAGAACAAAAATCTTAACATTTGTGGCTGTATTAAATCCCACTATGATTTCTAAAAGTCCAAAATAAGCAAACTATGCCCGTTACAGACCGTTACCACTTTTGTAAGTTAGTGATCTCTAGTTAATATTTTCTTTTATAATGCGAAAGCATTAACTGTCCAACGGAGCGAAGCCGGCGTTGTCTGTAGCAGCGAAAAATGGCACCTAAATTTCTATTGGCTGAGTGAAACGGCACCTAAATTCCTATCAGCTGAGCGAAAAGGTACCTAAATTCCCATTCATAATAAAACACAAAGATTAGCACTGCAACGTAGATGCTTCGTCGAGGAAGCCGGCGGGTGCACTCGGGGTCAAAGCGGACACGCTTCAGCGATGCAATGTTTCGTCATGGAGGCGTTTGGGAAGTTGGCGGAGTTTGCCGCGCCTGCGCAGGAGGGGAGCGTGATGTCAGCGCCATTTGGAAAAGAAAGACGTGGTGCGCTGCTTGTAGGAATGCTTTTACATTCCTACACGTAAACAGTCTTGGGTGTCTCTGCCAAATTTGTTTTGGTCTTTTGGCAAGGGTGCTTTCATGGTGTCACGCTGTTCAGACACACTTTTGCATGCGGAAGTGTGTGTCCTCGAGAACACTTTTCTTTTTCCACAAAACCTTGGTTTGTCGTAGCACTGCTCTAGCTTCTCCTCTACTGCTGCCTTCGTGACTTGCGGCACGCACAAAATGTCTACCCCGGCTCGGGACACCCTAGAAAACTAGAATGGCATCCTCCAACGAGCACCTTCTGTTGTTCTGCACCTCGGGGATAAAACGTCGGTGTAAGAACTCCCATCAAATTATCCAACATCATGCACAGTCTTCCCTGCTGCTGTCGGCCAAAGTGCAAGCAGCAAAAGCAGTTAAGCGTTTCAAGCCAAAGTGGATAAGACAATCTGGGAGTAGTTTGGACAATGGCAGTGACTCTATCTTGATAATTGTAATATCCTCACTTGTCGCCCACCCGCCTGCCACCTGAAATTCATAAGGGGAGTGGGCCGTGTCTCGGTGGGTAAGCTCGAAAAGTTTAGAAAAAGCTAAAAAACGCAAACTTTTCTATTTGTATCTAGCACGGCTGCACAAGAGATACCTTAAACTCAAAACTAGAATTAGTCGTGAAAATGCGTTTTCTATGTTATTCTAACCTAAGACCGTAGAATTAGTTTTGTTGTTTTATGCAAGAGGCACTCACGAAAGAATGTTTTACTTTTGTGAAGCTCGTTGCTTGTATACGTGTGATAAACACCGCCGATCGGCATAGAGCGCGAACGCTTGTTCTGTTAAAGCATGTTTTTAAAACTGGTATGTTCCCTTCGTCAGTATGCAAAAAAGGAAGAGTCAAGAAAATAAAATTTTAACCAGGCGCAACGAGTGAGCGGGCGAAAGAAGCGACAAAGAGCAATGCTGGGGAAGCGTTAAAGCCAGTGATTGCATTGGCAAGTCGGGCGCCTTGTGAATCGCAAGGAGCAGGCTCTTAGGCAACTTCCTTGTTTGGTGCATACATGCGTGCGTCTGTGCGCGGCGTGCTTTTGACGCTTGTTGAGGCGGCGTTGCTACAATGCCTGGACAGCACCACAAACACTTAGCTCGAAATGGGATGCTTTACAAACGTCTGTGTGCGACATTGCAGCAAATCTTTATTTACCAGTTGGCTTTTTATCAAACATTGCACGATCTTACGAACCGGGGTTGCGACATTCAAAGGGAATGATTGGCTATTCGCGGTGACCTTATTTCGGTGGAGACGGACTTTGACCTTGTACCTTTGACCTTACACTCCGCTGTTACATTCCGGGATACAGGCCGCGCGCTGAACTCGCAATCCCTGAATGGGTTACTTCTTGTGTTATCTTTTCAAATTCTTTTGTCCGAACAAACCTTTTTGTAAGCAAGACAAAGTTTTGTATTGTTATCTTCATCATTTTCCTTTCACTTGAATGTACTCCGACTTCAGGGTCGTGAAAATCGGGGAGAAAATGCGTAAACATTTCCCTCTTCGTTTTGCTTTGTCACTGACGTCCTCCAACCGTAAGGTCCGCAGTCGCGTCATTCAGGTAGGTGGAATGTTCGAGGACCGCGGAGTCTGCATTGGGGTATTTGTAGGGCTAAGTGATGACTCGGTATTTTTTTTGGAAACCCCTATTTGCTTACAAAGTGGGGTGGATGATGACTTGGGATATTACGGTATTTTTCTGTCATAAAAATATAGTGGATAAAAGTACTATTACTGTTGTTGATACCTTTTATTTAAGACATAACGGTACAGAGATGTGTCAGGGGACATGGCAAAAGGCATAAATGCCTGACGGGGCCATGCCACCCTTTTGGCAGCAACGGTAGCAAAGCAAACAAATGAGGAATGATTCAACTTCACTCCAAACTAAAAATCTTTACAAAACAAAACAAATACATCACAAAACATGACGTGAAAGGACAGGTGTCAGTTATCACCCTAAGCATTTTGCTTAAAACGCATCCGGTTTTATTCCCCTGTGAGTAAATGTTCTTTTACAATATTTTGTATATTGATAGAGTGATCGTATGCACTCCAATTAAGCTAAAATATATGGGTGTTCGTTTAAATAGTCTGGTATAAGAAGACTCAACCTCTGGTCTCTATAATTCGTTCGCAAATGCGATTTTATTAATAAATGACGCCTTAAATTATACGGGCTATCTTTTGCGTGGTACTTAGCACTGAGAAGCAATTTTACAGTGAACATTTCTCATCTCTTCAACCAATGAGGGTCGAGAAAGGGCGCTTAGTTTTACGCGTGGGGCCTAGAGTAGGGCTACCCTCACCTGAATCAGGGACGGATTTATGGGTCAGGCCTTGGGGCGGGGCGGTAGGCCTTTGGCTGGTTGAGGGGGAGAGTGCCGAGATAGGACGTTATGGTCAAAACGTTGCCCAGATCTGTTTCGTTGACCGACAAACAAAACAAAGTTGACCTTGGGGAGCTGAGGAGGGGACGGGCGGGCCCCTTCCCCCCTTCCATCCACCCCTGACCTAAATTGCATGTAACGAAAGGTATTGCTAAACATTTTTTTTCCTGGAAAAGTTAACAAAAACAGTGTTTCCCAATAAGCCCTTTAAAAATGTTTTCTTTTTTAAATTTTAGTGTCGCTAAACAATTGCCAAATGCCTCCCAAAATTTTTTTTTTGTTCACAAAATGAAGTTTTGCGGAAAAAAAACAATTGCTAAATTTTTGCATTACGAGGCTTATCTTGCGTTAGGAGTAATTCTAAAACTAGCCTTTGTTTCGGGATGTCGACCCCGACATAGAAGCATGCCTTGAAGATGATTGCACGAGTCTTGCAATGCAAATATTGCGCTAATATTTTTTTTATTTTTTTAGGGGAAATTTGTTTAGTTGTGCGTGACACTTGAAAAGAGTTTTTTTTTGGGGGGGAGTTTTATGTCCCTTTAATGTATGATTTAAATTTTGAGACACCGTGAAGGTGTTCCTCGTTTTGCCGGATAGGCATTGGGGATAAAAGGCTCGTTGCATCTCGAGTGACCGTCGGAGTTTATTTGACGCCCGTCAGCTTCTTCAAAGTGGTCTCTGTCTTTGTTGCTTTTCCAAATGAGTGGTGGTATTTTTCAGGTGGATGACGAAGAACTGCAGGATGAGCCTCTGCAAATAAGGTGGGACTCCTCAAGCCTTGTCGGGAGAAGTTTAGTGCCGCTCGTTCGCCGATGGACCGTCCTTTTTGGACCCCTCGTGCTCCGTTTTCCTGTCATTTGCGGTTGGCAAGAGGGGAAAACGAGCCTCGAGTTGTCGGTTGTTCTCCTATTGTAGATTGGGGCCCTTGCCTCTCCATTGTCCGCTGGAGAATCCTGATAAAAATAGGCGCAGATGATGGTAATGCCTGTATGGTGGAACTACCCAAATATCATGGTCATAGCTCAATTACTCTTTCATTTACAAATATGCTTTGAACCTAGTGGAGAGCCTGCAGTTTACTTGGGCAACACACCGAAATGTATGCTACACAGTGTGACATTTTGGCATTATGAATTTCTCGTATACTTTAGTTTGCATCATTCGTTGCCTCGTTTGGAGGGACGTGAATGGCACGTAGGGGAAGGACCACATTATGAATTGAAGAAGAAATAACTTTGAAAAATGTCACAAAGTCAACTGTAACTGAATTGTAGCTGAAAGACTAATGAAACAAACTGAACAAAAGTAGCCCAAATGGTTGCCGAGGTACCAGCTCTATGAGCAACACAGAATCCAAAGAATACGCTCCAAGAAACAGTCTTTAAAGTAATACTAGTTTACTCCCTGAGCTGGTGTAAGGTATTACTTACAGCACTGAAATATCGTCTGCAGCAAAAAGTATTTGTGGATCACAAAGGAAGGGACATTAGATGTAAATAATTAAACTTCTAAAAAAAGCACTTCTTTTTACATTTTCTGCACGTTGACCTGGTCTTGAGTAAATGACCGCATGCTGCAAAGCGTGCTTAAAGTAGGAAATCGGTAGTGGACCCTCTCCTGTCACCTTGATTCACTTGGAGGCTGTTTTCTTTTTGAAGTGATTAAGGCTAGATGCATGTAACGACGATTTGTTCTCGTCGACATTATGGCTCTCGTTTGGATGTTTTCCAATGGCCTTCGTAGATTCCTCAGGAACACCCAATTTTGTAGAGCACCTCGTCATGGTGCTCTTTTTGAAGGAAGATGCTAAGGGCTGTGTGATCTCGGAGGGAACTTGTCGCTTGGATCATGGGGGAAGAAAGCGAGAATTTCCATGCGGAGGACGAACCTTTTTTTCTAGGTTTTCGTTCTCATTGAGCAGTCTTGCAGGCTTCGGCATGCCCGTGCACATTTTTAAGTGTGGCCCTTGCGTCTTTAGTAAGAAAGCTGTATTGACGTGAGACCCAAAACATGAAAAACAGTCAGTTGTCACAAAGAAGCGCTGAAACTAATCAAAAAGCAACCTTTTTCTCGAACGGTGCGATCGAAGGTTGGATGACTTTTGCTATGGTTGACTGCAATTTTCATGTTCCGGTTTTACACCAAAACACGTTTCTTCAAATAGATAAGTCGATAGTCGTTGCTCCATCTCCCATCTTCTTTTCTTTCGTTTTTTTTGGTGCCATTCACTCTCCGTATCCACGTCTGGCCAACTCGGCCGGCTTTTCCCTGCGCCGTCTCCGCGTCCCCCGCGTGTTGTAGCGTGCGACCGTAGACTCCCCTCGCAGGATCATGGACTACGACACGTACAGTGCCAACGATGCCATCGGGAAGGTGTACATCGACCTGAACCCCTTGCTGGTCAAGGAGGTGGGCTCGACCCTGTCCGGCTGGCTGCCCATCTACGACACCATGCACGGCAAGTAGACGCCCACGTCGATTCCAAACGCGGCTTCTCTGATTGCAGTCAGGCCAGTGTTTTTGCCCGATGGGCAACTCCAGCTCGTGCAGCTACGCTATGTTGCCTGCAACGCATCTCCCACTAGTCTGTTTACCGCATCCAAAAACGTGTCACGCCGTCGCCGGCTGCGATCCTGGCAGTGTCACAGCAGTGGATGTGGCAAGCCCTGTTCTGGTTTGACGGTCCACAGGAGCTTCGGCAGGCTTTGCCCCTGCTTTTTGCCGCAACTTCTACGACCAAGCACTCAGCTTTTCTGACGTCATTTCTTGTCACTTTGGAACCTCTTTCCACGCATGGCCAAAATAGGACGCTAAACATGCTAGTTGGAGACGCGTCGTGGGCAGCTAAGCGATCAAAAAGCCGTTCTTGCGGAATCAAAGTTTGTTTCGATTTCGTGCCTCATTACCATAATACGTTCCATTCGAGAACATGTAGTTCTGCCCCCTCGCTACTCGTATCATCCAACAATTTCACAGCCGATGCGGCTGAATTGTGTGATTGACGACGACTTTTTTTTTGGAGGCATCGGACACATGCGTGTTGACATTCTTGACAAGTTTGGTTCTGTTTCGTGCCAGTGATTAATTGCCGATAATGCGCCACCTCACGGGAGAAAAACCTACACGCATCTCATCACAATCGCGCAAAGTGTTCTAGTGGGCCCATTTTAAATTTTAGTGGGGCTTTTAAACTATTGATTACGTGCGATTGATGGCCTAAGGGCACGTCAGGATTCTCATTCTTTCTCCTCCTCGCTTCGTCCCGTTGAGCTGGTGAACCGAAGCGAGGAGGTGAAGGGCGAGGCCGCTTCCCCTCATTCTCAAAGTTTCCAGGAGGACAATGACCTCATAGCCCTCACTTGATCACACCCTTCTATTCCAAAAGTATGGCCATCCATTTGAGATATCGATGTGTGATTGATGTTTTGGAGCTCCTAGTGTCCCGTTTCTGCATAAGGCGCTTCTGCATAAAATAAGGCACTTCTGCAGCCTTATTTTGCGAAATCCCAATTTCGGTTCTGTGTCCCTTTAAATAATACGCCAAGTGAATCTTTTTATTGCAGGGAAAGTTCATTTGCTAAAAAAAAAAAGAAAATGTTGTATGAGAATTTTGTGTTTTTTTAATGGCCCATCAGAGCCACAAAAGGTTTAATATTGTCTATTCAAATAAAATCTATGCAGAAATGCAAATGAAGGTAGAAACGGGAATACATTTTGGTCGACTCGTCAAGGTGAAATAAGCTCGGCCCAGATGAAGTAAGAGGACTGTTCCGGTCGCCTGTGGCTTAGCCAACTTTTGCTCGCACTGGTCACCATGTTTCAGGCATCCGGGGAGAGGTGAACCTCGTGGTGCGGATCGACCTCTTCAGCGACTCCAACCGTTACCGGGAATCTTCGTGCGGCGTGCGCTTCTTTTACAGTGAGTGCCTCTTCTTCGCATTTGTACTCCACGAATCGCGCGCAGCGTAAGCTGCGTTATGTCGCTGCTATTCAAAAATGGGGGACGTCGAGGAGGAAAACCGTACCTACACGAAGGAATGCGCCACAAACAAGCAAAGCGACGTGGAAGTCTCCGAGTGGAACCTGGGCAGCATTGCTTACGAGTTGAGAGCGATGGGACGTCCGCCGCCAGTCCGCCCGACCCGGCAGGCACCTCCAGTCCACCGGGCAGAGCTTAGCAAGGCGTTTAGTTTTCGCGGGCCGAGCGACTGCGGTGCACTTCCTGTTCGCCGCACAAAGGCTTCTCGCTCGACAACCCTCCCCCTTCGCCGGGTCCCCATGATCGCCGCCGTTGAACAAACGCGTTGGCGGCCGGCTTCGTTGAACCCTCCTCGCGTGCCTCGACCCCGTCTTCCTCGTCCCCAAGTCAACCACGGAGTCCCGCCTCGACTGCGCCCCACCAACTCTCCGGGCATTTCGGTTTTGCCTCACTCCGCGCTCCGGGCCATCCAAGCAAACTCCCTCCGCCCCGAGTGTACATGGGGAAGCTCGACCTCGCCGAGGAACTTTTACCGTATCGCGCTTCGTCCCCCCTCCCGCAACCCAACCGCATTCAGAGTAGGCCACCGTTACTACTGTTTCTGTCGTACGCCCTTCAGCACATGCGCCGTTTGTAAGAGCATCCTCTTCATTAGAAGTGGACGTTCTCAGGTATCTTTTCAACCATCGTAGTGAAGAGAACAAGTGCTCAGCTTCTGCCGCTGTTACGTGCACAGTCGCTAGGATCTTTATTGAGGTGATGATGGTTGTTTGGCAATAGGACCTCTGGACAGAGGGCGACCGCCTGGAGCGCAGACGTCATGGGCGTTTCACGTTTCTCTCTTTTGTATTTGGCAACCCATATGAGCAGCTGGCATGGGAGTTCAGAAACTGAAACCAGGCCAGAATAGAGCTCCAAAAACTCTTCAGCGCCAGGAGCTGCCTTGCTTTCCAAGATCCTTGCAGGCAGAAGCGACGAAAGTTATTGCAACATACTCCGGGGCTTTTTAAATCTCATCTATTTGCGTGATCAGGTAATTCATGAAAGGAAGGAACACGGAGTGCTTAAAAGCTCTTCCATGCTTCCAGCAGGAATGTTAGAGCAGTGATGTTGCCGACTTCTTAAGTGCCGTTCACACTTTTGCGACCTCTTAAACCTGGGTTTCTTGAAACTTCTTAAACCAGAGAACACACTGGCGCCATCTATTGGGAAGCAGTGCAAACTCGGCGGTCCGGTATATTTTTTTTTATTTTTCGCGCATTATCCTTTCTTGGCTCGAAAAACGTTTGTCAATGCAGGGGTGGTCCAGCTGCGCCAATTGCGCCATTTTGATAAATTCTCCTTTACCTGCGCCTTGCTGCGCCTAAAGACACAAATTGCGCCAAACTGCGCCAAACTGCGCCAAACCGCGCGCCAAACTGCGCCAAAAAGGGCTAGTCGGTCCGTGAACGAATCCTTTTTTGGAAGAATGGCGTTTTCGGCTGGCAACCCGGTGGGAGGTGGCTAGGCTAGGTGGCGCAAGCTGCCGCCCGATATAAAGGGTAGGGCCGTTACCATAGCCATCACAATCCAATTCAGGTTTCCGGCCCAGTGGCATTATTGCGCATTATTGTTTTGTTGCGACCGTTTTGATATGCGGCGTTGTGGCTGTTCATTTCTGCATCGCCACTTCTTCACCACTCTTGAAGATGAGCCAACGTGAGTACTTTTTTTTTTCTGCTTGCACGTTTTAAGTTACAGACCCCATAGTAGAAATTTGCTCGGACGCTCGGTCACCGGCAGACCAGCGGCATCAATACCGAACGTGGTACTCTTTTCGATCGCGTGGTCGTTGCTTGATTTCCTTGTTGCGAATTGTTGCGTGTTCCTTTTCATGTCAAATGCCGTAAACGATTGGTCACCCCTTGGTTGTCATACTGTCGCACTGCGTGCAAACTCAGAATAGAGCTTACAAACATGTTTAATAAATCGCTATAGTTTCGGATTCTCGGACGCCTTGAGTATATTTACCACGATCACGAAAAACAGGTCGACTTACAATTGTGTAAATACATATTCACCGCGGTAACTTTAAAGTTTGTAGATCATGGCAAAAAAGTTTTGGCGTATTTTCTTGGTTTGTTTAAAGTTGTAATTTTGTCCTTTTTTTCTAGAGCGAAGCACCAAGTTTAAAGACTCGGTACTCAGTGAGGTGGACTCAAATAATGATTTAATTAGTCTCTGGTGCAAAAAGGGGACTCACAAAACTGATGCATTTTGCGTCCTCTGCAATTTATCAATTTTCTGCGCACAACATGGAGTAGCTGCCATCAAACGTCACGCAGCATTGAAGAAACATGTTGAGGCTGCTGCAAGGCACAGAGATGAAGACGGAAACCTTCAGCCCTTCATATTGGTGCAAGCCGCATTAGATTTCTCACAAGGTGCTTCTGGCAGATCACTCCAAGACCAAGTGTGGAAAGCGGAATCAATTTTCGCTATGTCTGTTGTTTCAAAGTCTATCCCTTTCTCGTGGGGAGACAGTGCTACGGGAATGTACGAGTGTATGTTCCCGGACAGCGAGGTTGCTAAGAAGTTTAGCTGCAGCAGGTCCAAGTTATCACGCATCGTGTCCGATGGACTCGGCCCTTACTTCAAGTCCGGAGTTGTGAGTGAGCTGCGCCACCCAAATGTTTTCTTCTCCGTGATGATCGACGAAACCCCAAAGCCAGAGCAAAGAACGCAGCAACTGGATGTGCTTGTTAGGTACTTTTCTAACAGCCAGCAACAGGTTGTCGTTGAGCATGTGCAATCGTACAACCTCGGGCGTGCCACCGCGGAAGTAATTGTGGGCTGCGTAGAAGACACGCTGACTGAGCTACCGAAGAGAGGGCTTGTTTATTTTTTCAGTGACGGGCCTAACGTCATGAAAAGCGTGAGGAACAAGCTCCAAAAGGATATGCCATCAAGTTTAATTGACATCAACAACTGCAACCTTCACAAAGTCCACAATGCTTTTGCAAAAGGTCTCGATGCGTTTGGCTCGGATGTTGAGGAGGTCGTCCGAAACGTCTACTAATACTTCAAAAGCGCTGTTCGTGCTGAAGCCCTCGGAGAATGTCAGGAGGCTCTAAGGATTGCTTCTTATGTGTTTCTGCGTCATGTCTCCAATCGCTGGCTCACACTTAAAGATTCACTGTGTCGTGTCCTAGAACAATTCGAAGCGCTGAAGTAATACTTTCACAAGGCAAGCATGACAAAGCAGCGAGTGGACACTGAGAATCTTCACAGCAAGCTTGCTGCAGCATTTTCAAAGAAAGACCTTTATGCCAAGGTGTTGTTCTTGAAGAACTGTGCCGAGCTTTTTTCTCGGTTTCAGACACTGTTTAGAAGCAAGAGCCCCTGCTACACATACTCCATGCGGAGTTGCTGTCTCTAGTCCAGCGAATCCTCAGCCGTTGTTTGAGGAGTGCAGCCTATGTGGACAAGAGTGCGGAGGAACTGAAGAAACTCGATGTGCAGGACTCTACCCTGTGGAAAACCAAACCAGAAGTGAGTATGGACACTGAGCAGGCAATGCTGAAATGGGATCCAGGTGAAAAGAAGCGGTTACTTCTTGGGGCCCGTGCCTTCTACTGGGCTTGCTCGAAAGACCTCCTCCAGAAGCTGCCTCTTGACAATAAAGTCTTTCAGCACACAAGTCTCTTGGGATTGCAGCCCAGCGACGTGGAGTCAGAAGTCCGATCCTTGCGATACCTTGCTTCCCAGCTGCCTCAAGTGCTTGAGAGCGGCCACGTGTCATCACTGATCGATGAGTGGCATCTGCTGAGATGTGACTCTGCTAACAGCCTTCAGTTGATGGAAGATGGACGGACTCGTTGGGCTACAGTATTTCAACAAAAGTGTGCAGCTGGTCAGCAGAAGTACCCACTGTTGTCAAGGCTAGTAAAAGCGCTGCTCTCTCTACCTCATGGCAACGCGGACTGTGAGCGAGGCTTCAGTGAGAATAAGCATCTCCTTGAAGGCCGAGCCTCATTGTGCATTGCGAGCATCAACGGATTGCAGCAAGTGAAGACCTACCTGCAGAGGTATGATGGAGATGCCACAAAGGTGCCCCTGTCACCAGACCTTCTGCGAAGCGTCAAAAGAGCAAGAGCCCGGTATGAGGAAAGAATCGGAAGCAGAGAGGCCAACATGAAGAGAAAAAAGCCCGACAGCGCACAAGTTGATGCTGACAACTCGCATGACAAGCGCTTAAGGAAGCAGTTGGAGGAAAGGGTGATCTCGTGCCGTGCGTTGCTGAAGAGGGCGGAAGAGACCATTGGTGCAGGACTGAAGTGCCAAAGCTTGGAAAAAGTAGAAGGTGGCCAAACTATGTTAGCTGAAGCCAATGCTACTTTGTCACGCACTCTTTGCGAGCTGGACGAACTGAAAAAGAAATGCAAAAAGCATTGAGTCAATATTCTTTTTTTTTCACCTGTGATATATAGCCTACAGTCAAAAGGCAAGTATTAAGCAATGTTTTAGTTTTCATCTGTGATATTTTGTTACATAGCTAAGCTTTAGCTGCAAGAATGTTCTGTCATAAATAAAATGGTTTTCTTATGGTGAGTTCTTTTCTTTGTAAACTACTATATGAAATTCAGATGTTCGTGACACACACAGACATGTATATATATATATGGGGGGTGAGGTAAGATTGACAAGGGCAGCCGTAATATATAATAATAAAGACATGGCACAGAACTGCTCTATGTTCATGCTGCTCCAAAATGTTAGTTTTCCTGATACCAAGGTGCTCCAAAACAATCTTTTCCCTGCTCCAAAAGGGGAGTTTATGTGATACTAATTGCTCCAAAATTGGGTTTTTCTTGCTCCAAAAATTGCTCCAAAACCTAAAATGGCTGGACCACCACTGTCAATGTTATAAACGAGCCTTTCTATGGGTATAACGCACATTTGACCTCGGAAATCCCGCAAAACCTCCGCTCTTGTGAAATGCAGTTCCAGGGTCACCGCATAGATGGCGCCACAATGCCAGTTTGTTCCCTCGTTCTAAAAACATTTAAGAAGTTTTAAGAGATCTCGTCTCTCTCAGTTGTACGCGGTCGCAAGAGTGTGAACGGGCCTTTACTCGCGGCACCTGAATTTCAACTTCTGCTGTCTCGGCCATTTTAATGGCGGCTGAAATATTGCCTAGTGTTTGTGGGTGGACGATTGCTCTAATTTTTTAGTGTCGAAATTTTCTTTTTTTTTTGTGTTGCTGTTTAAAGGGGGACACTGGCTAGAGGTTGAACTTCTGAACTACTCAAGTGATAAGAATGAAATTTATAAGGGAGATTTATTGTCAGATGTAGGTGTACTGTACAAACTTTCAGTTCTCTAGGGCAGTGGTTCTCAACCATTGATGTTTCGCGGACCCCTTGTGGATCGGCCGAGATGATGGAGGTGGTGAGGGGAATGTAAAGTATAGCTTAATTATGATTGTGATTTAGTAAATGGATATAACCAAGGGCTAGTGTGAAGTAAACTTCAATTATTGACATATACACAAAAAAAAACACACCCGAAAATTGGAATGGTTCTTCTGAATCTGAGAAGAGACAACTTTTATTTCCGGGCTCGACTGATGAGGCTGGGCTTTGCGGACCCTTGAATGCCTTCGGGGACCCCAAATGGTCCGTGGACCCCCATTTGAGAACCACTGCTCTAGGGCAACTTCACATACCTGCATAGGGTAATGTGTCGCTCTTCGTTAAGAAATCTATGGTATGCAAATGAAGCTATTAAGCATCATTTTAACTGCCTGAATATAAGGTGGGGAATGTGGGACTTCGGCCTATCTAGTTTTTATAACTCAAATGTAAATATTTCAGGAAGAGTTATTACCTCAAAATATAAGATGCATATCTGTTCTATGTCAATTTTTGAAAATATGTTTTTATCTCAATGAGGACTTTTATGTAAAACAAAATAAAGTAGATAGTCCAATTCCCCAGTAAATTTCAGTTCAGAAACATCTTGATTGTAGTATCAGAATAATTTTACCTTCGAACGAAAGATTCCTTTGTATGAAATTTGCAGCAAAAAGCGAAACTGAGAAAAATGCATTCAAACATTGACCTCCTTTACTTTGGTACTGCCTCACATTGTGTAGAAAATATTATATATCAGTGTAACTATTTGGTGCATGGTTATGAAATTTAGCGTAACGGTGTATAATTAGTTTCTATAACCGAAAACCTCAAAATTGAAAAAGGAATTTTTTCAAAACATATTTGAAACTTCGGCTTACGTCCCCCCTTAATGTTTTGTGACAGTATAGCTACCCTTTTGTTTTGTCTAACCGGTACGCATTGGTGATGCAGCGCTACCTCAAAAAGCGGAGGGAGTTGTGTGCCGTGAGGAAGCTTTTAAAGTTGGTTGGCCGCAACTACGACGACAGAAGAACAGTGAGCCACCACGCCCGTATTCCTCTAAATGAGGCTTACGAGAAACTATTTTGAGTTTCGTTTCAGTTGTTTGCTTTTTTGCAATCGCATCAAGCTCGACGTCTTCGTATCGCGCTGACGCTTCTCAAAAACATTGTCTGATTCGTGATTTTGGCGCATATGCAATCTATTTTGTACGTGAGAGTAGCTGCAGTGAGTAAGAGGACGACATTCATTCATTGAATTTTAGTTTCAATTGTTGTGGTGAGTCGAACCGGCCAAGATTATTTGTGCGTGCCTGTCGGTACCTTCCGTTTTGCGCGCCGAGGGAATTTATTGCCTCCGCGAGCTTCTGCGGACATGCTGGAGGCGTGTTCCAAACACATTAGTTTTAATCCGCAGGGTGTCAACCTTATATAGACTCGATTTTATGCCTTAAACAGCAAAAGGAACGGAGTTTTCTTTGGTAAGGCGGCTTGATATCGGCACAGCGCTATGGGGCAGCGCAAAATGCTTCAGTTGGAGCTTCAGGGAGCGATGCAGTCATTGCGGGGGCTATGCAGCCTTGCAGCTTTACCCGTTTTATCTTAGCAGCGTTTCCCTATTTTTGCGTGAGCGTCCATACCACCAAGTTCACCCTGCTTTGTCATTGGGGGGTGGGCGGCAGGGGTAATAATGTCGTTGAACCCCCCCCCCCCTCGAAATAAAATCCTGGCTATACCACTGACCCTGGCCAGGCGCAAGGTTGATTGCAGCATCCGTGGCAGGAGCAACAGCGTTAAGGTTCACATTGATGAGCGCGAACGAATCAAAGTTATCCTCGGAGGCTTTGCCAACATGTTTTCACGCAGCCCTGTAGAGATTGTTGCAGCTGTGAGAATCGTGCGCCGGCTCGGCAAACGTGCTTGCGAGGGAAAATCCAATGTGCGCAAAGCAGTTGGCAATCTTTCATCATCGGGTCATGGACGCGCTTTCTGTTGCATGAGTAGCTTCTCGAACCCGTCCAATGTGCCTCGCTTGTTCCGCAAAACGGTGGACAGTGTCGAACAGCCAATGCTGGAATGTCGAATTCTCGGGCGATTTCGGACTTGGGCCGGCCACTTTCCTCAACCTCGCGTATCTAAGTGACTTACGGTAAACTCACCCAATCCCCCATACGACGCACGTGTGCGTGTAGCACGCCACAGGCGTGCTCGTTGGAGGCTTCCGAAGGGATGATCTCCGAGCTTTATCACTCCTTTGACCCGATTATGACACAGTTGGGCATCGTCGGCCGCGGGCGCAGTGAGTAGCTTCGGTATGTGGACGGTACACCCGCTGCTCCCTGCCTGCGTCCTTGCGTCGGTGCATTGGCATTGGAAGTGGCGCTCTGCGCACTCTGCCCTCTGTCGCCGGTTTACTACATTTTCTTGTTTGCCGTTTTCCCAGTTTTCCGTTTGCCTCGGTAGAGAGGGTGGAGGGAACTCAAGGTTCTCCGTGCACCCTCATGTAGGCTTCCGTGCTTTTGGCACCGTGGCCTTCGTAATAAGCGTGGTCGGCCGCCGATATACTTCAAATAATTCGGTTAAAAATGTGTGCATGTTGAACTATGATAACAGCGATAATTAGAAAAAAAACGATTTCGTTATAATGAGGGACTATACTGTACATGCATTGCAGCCCTATGCAGCCAGGAAGCTGGAGAATGATGACTACAAGTAGCATTGCAGCACCACCACTTCTGCCGCCATAGGGTGACATTGGTCTCAAAATTTATTCGTTAAATTAAAAAATATTGTAAAATCATGTTACAACTGTTTGTTGTGCGGACAACAAACGGGGAATTGAAAATACTTGGTTCTTGCAGAAATGTTGTTGAAGTGGCGTTTGCTCTACCAAGATTCGAGTGTAGTGCAATACAAATTTTTTTTGTTGCGGGAAATTTTTAATTTTTTTGTTTTGTGACGTGTGTTTTATCTAAGCATTTAAAAGAAGTTTCAACGCAGACTTTGTTTGGGATTCCTGAGGAAAGTGTGATGGAATGCTGCCAAGGAAATCATTGTGAAATGTGTACCACATCCTTCAGAGGACATTGTGTAAAGACAGCGGTAGATTGAGAAGAAATAGGGAAATTCTGAACCTGCTCCAAGGATAATCGAACCAACGACCCTGTGATCTCTACATTCAACGACTGTGTCAATTAGTGAGTACGGTAGATGCAAAGCTAGCTAGCTCCGCCAGGTGATATCTGTAACTGCTTGAATGTGAACGCCGGGCGCTGGGCACTCGAGGTCGGTGTTTGCGTTCAAACAATTTATGGAAGAGACAAGAAATCCAAGCCTTGCCCACCAACACGTATTGAAGTACAGAGTTTGGAATAAAAAAACTGTGCTATTGCAAAGAAAAGAACTGCGATGTCTATTAGAGTCCAAAAAATACCACATTCTGTATGTACTGATTGAAAACGAGCGTGTTGGTTAATGGATACGAAAATTGAAAGTATAAAACAGTGAGGACGAGGACGGGAGAAAGACTGGAAAGAAGTCCTGTTCCCGGTCCTCGTCCTCGCTGTTTTATACTTTCAAGTTTTCATATGTATGCACCGACTTAATTTGCACCAGAAAGATAAAGTGAGCATTTGTGGGGGGTGTTGAGAGTCTCGTAGCAAAGGAGCTGTCTGTTGCAGGCAGTGGTGTCCCCCTGGGCCACTATGCCCAGGCCATCCTGGGCTTTGTGGAGGAGCTGGTGGTGAACGACGACCCGGAGTACAAGTGGATCGACAAGATACGCACCCCCAGGGCCTCCAACGAGGCGCGCCAGACGCTCTTTTCCAAGCTCTCAGGTAGGCGGGTGGGGACTTGTTGGTGAACAATTCTTCATTGATGCACATTTTAAAGACGCACATATCATCAATGTGTAAAGCTTCGAGTCAAGTTCATGAAAAGAGTATCGTGAAAACTCTTCGGCAACCGTATGCTCTCGAAACATTTCATTGACTTTTTTTTGCTAAGTGGATTGGATAGGATTACTGGCTTTATTTCCCTCGCTGGAAAGGTGGCTTTAGCCACAAGTGTGCAAAGTGACTCTGACCAAGCTAAAGCAAATCTGCGAGTCCCAAAAGAGGCACATTTATTGCTACTTCCCTTCTACCTTTTTTGTCGGTGCATGGTCCTCGTTAGCGTTAAAAGGGATACTATAGAAGTTCACTGTAGACGTGTTGTCGAATACAGTACCAGTCACCAGTTTCTATGCTCGGATGCATTCTTTTTAAAATTCACACTGATTCAATCTAAGATTTATTTTTGTTACGGATAATATATGATTATCGTCAGGGGCTAAGGTAAAGCGTGCCCCACTCGTAACCAAGCGTGCTAAGCTGCTCCGTTGCGAGGATGTGGACTATTCAGCTTGTGTGCCGCATGTTTCTCGAGAAAACTGGGCACGGGGTGTTTGACAAAGAGAATGACACCCTGCATTGCCGGCATTGAAGCACATCTCCATACGAGTCAATTGCATCGCCACTTGCAACTCCTCTTCCAATTGGGCACACTGCAGAAGGCGCACAGTTTAAACCATGTCACCATGAAGCAACTCATGGGCCATCCATATTTATCTTCTGTTTACTGAAGGTCATGGTCCATAAACATTTCCTGGGGGTCACTCTGGAAGCAATTTAAACGTGGCAGGACCAACCACCTTCTTCCGAGAAACTTGTTTGGATACTTCGCATAAAGCCATCTAATGCAGAATGTGTTGTGTGTTTGCTTCCAGCTGTTTCGATTTGTTTGCGCCTCTTGTGTCTCTTTCGCCCATTTGAATTTTGGGCTAATCCTTTTGGCCGATTCACGCGGTGGACTGATCCGCGGACGAATTGATCGCGTGACGACGTGTCCAGGGTTCGTCCGTCTCCCAAGTGCATCCACAGAAGGGAGACGACAAGCAGACGGCAGCGAGGATGGACTGAACCTATTCGCCACCCTACAGTGCCGCGAAACTCCAACATTGTTCTGTGGTACCGTTGTCCAAGAGAGAAATCAAAGTTTTCTACTGTGATGTATGCCGCTGTTACGTACAGATTGAGACAAAACACCGTGATAGTCTTCGCGCGAAGCGCCACTAGCTTTACTAACCCATAGCATGACAGTGACACAGGCATGGTCCTGGTCGAGAAGGCTTCGGCATTGAAGCGATGAAGTTCTGGGCTCGCGGAGAGGCGTTTGGAAATGCCTTCACGCACTCCGCGCTTGTGAACAACACTCAAGTACACTAGAGCCATGGGAAAGGTCTTCGGTTGGGTTAAAGCATTGGATTGCCAACTCAGAGTTTGTAGGGTCTATTCCTGCCAAGAGATGAAGTGATTTTTGTGAAGAAACTTGGCCACATTATTATCTTTTTCGTTGCAACCTTTGGGGATGTTTTATGTCAGCGAACCGTAAATTGCATTCTACATTAAAAAACTGGCGATCACTCGTCTTTGGAAACATTGTCACACTCTACTTGGCACCTGCCACACCCATTGCCTAATTTGGCTTGAAGAACCACCCAAGTGGTTACTCGGGTCAGTTTAAGGGGAGACGCTGCTCTTCGAGTCAAAAAACTATACAAAGAAAAGACATTTTTGATATTGTGTTTCTTGAAGATTGGCATGCCCTTATCATCTTGCCCCGAAGGATTTTCGTTAATTAAGTTTCTCTTATCTCCAAATATTGTCTTGGAACAATGTGAAATTGGTTTGTGAATGTTTTTTGTTGTTGTTTCTGAGTGAAAGATTTACACACTTTGCTATTTTATGGAAGCCATATCTCCACTTGCACATATCCAATCTTCATAATTTTTTCTTTCTCTGATACGTTTATGTTTGTCTTAAGCAATAAGGGCTATAAATATATTAAATTTGGTATCAAACTTTTTTTTAGGTGCCTTTTAGGCATCCTGCAATAAACCATTTTGAAACTGGAAAAATTCAGAAGTGTCCTAAAAAAACTTGTAAATCATCCTAGAGCTTTCATTTACGCCTTAATGGGTTCCACTGACCTTTCAGTTTACTGATGGAACGTCGATTATGCATCCGCGGTTTATGCGACATCCGGCATTTACAGCGAATCTGCCCGGTCCAAATGAACTCCCGTAGAAATAATGTATTAAAATTTTGGTTTACACGACGCATGATTCTACGTGTCCTGCATCGTACAACGTTCCGGCAGGAAACGTGTGACAAATTATAGGGCTGCAGGAGGAGGGAAAGAAGGAGGGCGTGGCAACGTGGAACAGTTCTGCGCGCCATTTCATAGGGTCCAAAAACACGCCGTCGGCAATTCAAGACAGCCGCAGCGCCAAGAGGGAGCGGGAGACTGCACATTCCCTTCTCCCTCCCCGGGTTGCAAAATGCCTGGGCATTTCCAGATTGCATCCTTGCTCCGCTCATCCCATCGTTCTCTCGTTTCCCCTCGCTCTCCTCGGCGCACCACCTGTTCCAACTCGTTGCTTCTCCCAGGATGGAGCACGCTTCCGCTGGTTCCTGCCGTTCCCGCTTTCGGAAAGCGTGAAAAGCGACAAGGGTCCCATCGTCGTGACTTTGCACGTCGGTCGTCAAAGTATGGCAGATCATTTGCTTAGACATCATTGAAAACCTCCGCTCGTGTTTATTGCGCGAGGTCGATTATTGTATCCGTAATTATCGCTTTTTCGGATGATATGACTCGCAGATTATACAACAATTTTGCGCTGTCCCGCAAAACTCATATAATCGGGGTTCTATTGCATATGTCTATTTTCTGATTTCAGTATTTCGATTTGTCTTAGTCCTTCCCATAATCTTTGAAATGAAATTTTCAATATTAACTAAACTAATTAGGTTCCATCAGAGCCAAGTACATATTTGTAGTCGGACTGCAATGGCAGATAAGCTACGTAAATTTCATTTGAATAGAGTTGCAAGTTATATAAAAAAGCTCTAGAAGCAGCGTTGCCCCTTAAAGGGTCCCTACAACAACTTTTTGACTGGTTTTTAATTTGCACCGAACCTGAGTGCACTGAACATAGTAAGTTAATGAAACTTTCGTATTTCGAATTTTGCTTTATTTTAAAAATTGTAGGCAAATTAAAATTACAAAAACAAGCAAAAAATAACCTCCTTCATGACGTCGTTGGTCGTGAACTAGAGGAGGGGTAGTGAGCTCAGCGAGCGCTCACGGCTGCCGCACTTCGTGTCGACAACTCAAGGGTGCGCCACTAAAGCATGTGCTTGATAGGCTGTATGAAGCAGGCAGCCAGGGCAGCTTGGATTGCATTTGCTGCTCGATTAAAAACTAATTCGGCATGACACTTCGTTCGCCGCAAACGACAGCAAACATAAGGCAAAGATCAGTTAAGAGCAGGGGCCACTTCGTGCTGCCATACTGCCAAACGGCCAAACCTGCTCTCCAAGAGCCGTGGGAATGCTTGGAACCGGTTGGATCCTCGAGCCCGTATACGACCGCAGCGCCGCCGAGTACATCCGGGATCTTTCTACGCTCGCGGCTCGTCGGTGCCTCATGCCACTACACCTCTCTAGTATGCGCCGCCTTTTCCACCGCTTGGTGGCGGGTATGTCGACGGGTTATTTCTAGTTTCCGTACTTTATAAACTGCATTTCTTTCTTTTATGTAAAATACTGAACAAAAACTACTTCCATAAATAATTGAAACGGTTCGCGCCACTTATATTTTGTATTTCGACTAAAAGAAGCTTTTAGCGGCTCTGACCAGTAGTGAGCCCAGGACCAAAGACGTCGCATATCGCGTGCTTTCGACACCGCGGGTCGCCCCCATAGGTGGAGGAGGTTTCTGCGTCGCCCAAGTAAAATATGATGCTTTGATATTTAGTTACTCCCTCCATGCCCGCTGGCTTGCCTGAAGACCAAGAGACGTGGAAATCGCTAAAAGGGGTAGCTCTTTAAATATGATTGCAGGGCCCCTTTAATACTGTAAGCTACTTTATTTCCATGGGCTCAATATTTCTCGAATTTGGGAAAGTGTGAGTTTCGGGAATGTTCTGCAGGCACGAAATTTCGCGATTTTGGAATGATATGCTACGCATTCGCTATCTCTGAGTGATATACTTGGGAGACCAATTTCTCACAATGTTTGTGAAATTCGTGATAATCGAGTATTCTACAGTCTATGCTTTTTCCGGCTGAAAGTTGCTCTCGCTGACTGGTTCTTTTGTTTCTCGAATTCAGGAGAAGTCCAGAGACGTATTGGACACAAGGCCCTGGAGCTGGGAGGCAATGCCGTGGTCGGGTGAGTGCCCACCTGGAGGTCCTCGAGGTCACTGACCTCGACACAGGCAGCGCCAAGTGCTATCACCCTGCAAGCAGTCAAAGTGGACGAGAAAATGCCCCAAAAGAAATTCTTGGGAGCATAATAAGCCGGCGTCTCTTCAGCTGGCAGTGAGCGCAATCAAGGACATAACTGTGACTCTGCAGGGTCTGAGAGAGAAAACGGAGGCTGACTCTTTGGCCTGCACAAATAATATGTGCATTGCAAAAAGCTCGAACTTGTTTACATGTAGGTCGACCCATTTTTGAATTTTTGAAAATCTAAAGTGGTGGGGTCGACTTATAACTCAACAAAAGCATTTCACTGCCCACAAAAACGAAACCATCGTGATATGAAGAACACCTCGATTCGTTAGGAGTTCGGCCGCCTGTACATGTAGCATTGCACCATTCTGTGCTCTCATTTTACGAGTTTTTTTTTTTTTTTTTTTCGTTTTAATTTTTCTTATTAAGTATTATAGAGGATCACAAAGAAGGCATCTGGCCACCCCCATGTTCTTACTCGTGTGAGCAAGCACGTGCAAGTGCAGTCCTGCCAAAGCTACCGTGACGCACATGCTACTTGTGCTTTTACACATGAAGGCGATTTGGAGGGCGTCTAGCGTCAGGAACCGGGGGCTGATATTGGAAGATGGGTCCAGATGCTGGCTGCAGCTGAAGAACACTTCATGCTGCTTCAGCTTGTGGCCAATGGCGGAGAGTCAATGGGCTTGGAGGAAAAGTTGTTATAAATGCCACTGATAAAAATAAACTTTACTTCCACACACAAAAAAAACAAGAGTTACACAAAAGGAAATGATTGCACCCTTCAACTAACTGCCGGGCTTACGTGTGGTTAAGCAGTTAAAACGGACGCCTCAAGTTTCCTCCTGCACACGGTAAGGACGGGGACTACCCCGCAGAGCAGGGACTGTCGCACACGACAGAAGTAGCGTGGAAAACTGCTGGAGAGAACTACTGGGCCACTCTGGCCCGTTAAACCTCGACAATTTTTCGTCCGGTCGGGGGTTATGACAGTGCGCCAAAATCTGTCCCATCCAATCGGTGTCTAGTTAGAATCCCATTGGGTACAGGCACCGACGCACTTAGACCAATCAGTGGGACAAAACCAGCCTTGCCAGGGGGCCAGAAGGTCAGCTCGCAAGGACGGGTCCCATGGCTAGAACCCAAACATTGAAACACGAGCCCCGGTTCGTTTATGCTCGGGGAAAATAAACCGACTCCGATGATTTTGACGAGAATCGCCAGAACGTGGCTCGCAAGGAAAACTGTTCCTCTACCATGGAGTGTGAACATTAGGTACGTTAAAACCAATAGACGAACGGAAGCCACATTCAACTCACGTTCATCTCGCGAACACATGTGCGGCGAAGGAACACCCAGGATTACAAAAATGCAAAGAGCACCTCCGGGGTTCACCCGTTGTTGCGTATACGTCTGTGCGTAAACGTAGGTCGTGCTCTAAGCCCCTCCGGCTAACCTCCCACAATCGCTGGAACATGATCCGTGGTCTCCGCCGGTGTGGCTTGCACCCGGGACTCGCACCCACGGCACTCCGTCCAGTTTACGAAACGGCTTGCCCGTCCACAAGTGCACTTGAAAGCTATGCTGGCATCGTAGGTCTTTGTGTGTGGATGCAATGGCCCTATGACCCGCCATGGAAAAGACACAACCTCACCCGGGGGGGAGAAATTAAAGGTTCGGCACGTACCGGGACGTATGAGCCAATCCTTTAAATGAGATGCCATCTGTCTCGGCAGTGCACGAAAAATGCGACCACATCGACACCATGTTTGCAAGCGTCTATTGATAGCGACTCGCAAATTAGCCCAATTGTAACGCAGTGAACTGCGCACGGCGCGCTGAACTCCCGGGGGTGGCAGCACTTAAAGGGGTGCTCCGGCGATTTTTCGAGCTACCTCAACTAACTATATTTTCTGACTCCCCGGCCTTTACCCTTTCCGGTATGTTATTTAGTATCGCGAAATTCATAATAGTTATTGCGAAATCGGCAAATGATGCAAAAACCAACATTCAAATATACCCACACTTTTCAGTGCCATGACGTCAGTGGAAGGCAAGCTTGCCAGTCGAGCGTGCAGTCTAAAAAATAGAATATGCCGATCATTTGTTCCGTGCTGGAGCGCGGGTCCTGGAGCGAGCTTCCAAAGCATTAATTTGACACCATGAAACTGCTTCGAATCAGTTGGGAACAAATTCTACAGTCCAAAGAGAACCCTGGCACTTCCACTTCCACTGACGTCACTTTTTCGTTGTTGCCAGTAGAGACTATCAGTTTGAAAAACACGGCGAGGACCAAAATTGTAAATTCAATAACTTCGTGAAAAAAAATTATTTTGACCTAATATTTGGGGTACTATTTTGGCGATGTTGTTTGGCGAGTTTAGCAAAATTTCAAGCAAATCGGGGACCATGAAGAAATCGCCGGAGTACCCCTTTAATGCAAGAGCCACTCCGTAATGGCCGCTGGAACAGCCTCACTCCCCGCTGCATTTTTCGCCATTTTTTTGCGTGATTCACGGTTGCACGTTCTTTGATTGAGTATCGAGATCATGCTGGAGTGCCAACTACGTTTCTCTTCATTGACATGCGTGATCCGGTTGGTTCAGGTTTTTGGTGCTTGTTAATGGCCATTCTTCATCCATAAGCAACCCAGAACTGCGCCGCTGAACGCAAGTTTGATCTGTCGTAGCGGGTGCTGCTCCAGTGGTATCTGCAACAATGCGGGATCTTAACCCTTTGCCTACTGCAAAAATTTTGAAGAAAACAATTTGAAAGTATCGATTTTTTTTATGTGCCCTATAAATTTAACATGCAAGACAAAGGCCAAAAACAAACACCAAAAAATTTGTTATATGAACAATCTATGAACACACTACAAAAAAAAAAATAAAAAAAGGGGTACTAAAGTTTGCTTTACTCCATTATTGTAGACAGTTCACATCACCTTGCATGCAAAGTGAACGAAAAACAGGAAAGGCTGGAGTGGGATTCTTTACGTTGATTCTAGTCCAATGCCGACACGCCGACACAATGTCCTTATCAGAATCGAAGTTGTCTGAGCTAAAATCCAATAACTCATTTGCATTGCTCTCGCTGTCCGATGAAAGATTCATTTCCTCGTCTTCCAAATCTGAAGAGACGTCACCATATCTTCACTTTTGCCCCAATTTTGAGGCAAGATTGTCACTATGATTGCAGCGACTAGAAGTTGATGTTGCCATTTTTAAATCCCCTGTTGCCTCCGCTAGAACAATTTTCTGCCAAATTCAAAGATGTACAGAGCGCGACACTGTTAGCGCGAACAAGCGATCGTCGGTTTTTCCTGTCTTTCTTTTTTAAACCAAGGGATGTTATCCAAGTCAATATTGCTATGGAAAGAGCTCATTTGGTTATATTATGTAAGCGATGAAATTCCGTGGTCGCTATTTCTATTTACCAGTATTATGCGAAAATGCGCCAATGTCGTGTTCGCGCTAAGAGTGTCGCGATGTGTACCACGTTTTTACCTTCCGTGAAGCGCCATCTATGCACGGCAAAGCTAACTAGAAACACGTGGACTAGCCCAGTTTGTCCATGGTAGTGTATTGGAGCCCGAATCTACATGGAAGAGCCCAGCTTGTTTTTGGGGGAAGTGGTAGAAACAGCATGGACGAACCCAGGTCGTCCATGATAAGGAAAGGGTTAACTGTGACAGCTAAGGAAGACTCTTCAGCAGGCCAAAGTCTGGATATATCTCAATGCCTTCCGGTGTTAGAGGTCAGGCTGGCAACGTATGTCGCAGAAGAGCGGGACCAGTCCCTACCCTTGACGTGCGATGCAATCACCGAGTGAATGTGGAAGATGTGGTTGATGCTGTCATTTGCGAAGTATGAGATTTCGTTGAACAACGCCGACGACGTGCTTCGAGAACGTCGCAGCGATGACGACGGGAAGGCCAGCACCAGTGCGGACGAATCGTATTCTCTAATCGCGGACAGAGTGAGAACAACAGGGAGCAGCTTCAGTTCTCCAGCCTCCAGTGTTAGCTTCCTAGTTTCGATGATGCCTGGATGCCTCGTGTGCCTCGTGTGTGCATACGCAGCTGGCAGAAGGCATAGAGCGCAAGCTGGAGTCTGGGCTTTCAAAAGAGTTACTCTGTCGTTCTCACAAAATTGCCATAAAAAGTGCCCCCAATTTTTTTTTTTTTTTTTCTGATGTGCAATTGGAGGGGGGGGTCCACTTACAATCGTGTAAATACATACCATATTTACACAATTGTAAGTCAGCCCTCCCTACAATGCCCATCAGGAAATAAAAAAGAAAAAATTTAGATGCGCATTTTACTGCGAAGATGTGAGAACGGCGAAGCATCTGTTTCGAAAGCCCAGCCTCGCGATCAATGACTTCTGGCGTGCTTTGGCTGCACTTGCACGCGCGAGGTGCATGAGATGACCAGGCGTTATCGAAACTAGGAAGTTGACGCTGGAGGCGGGACAACAGATGCTGCTCCCTGTCATTCTCACTCCGTCCGCGACTAGACTACGACTCGTCCGCACTGGTGATGTCAGTCCTGTCGTCATCACTGCTATGTTCTCGAAGCACGTTGTCGGCGTCCTCCAACGAAATCTCGCACTTCGCAAATGACAGGATCAACCGCGCTTGCTCGGCGATCACGTTGGACGTCACGGGTAGGGACCCATTCTGCACTTTTACAGCGCACATTGTGAGCCTGACCTCCAACTCCGAAAGGCATCCCCACCTATCCAGACTTTGGCCTACGGAAGCCTCTTCAATTGCCGTCACAGTTTAAGATCCCGCGCCATTGCAGACTCCACTGGAGCATCGCCTGCTCCAACAAGTCGAACTTGTGTCCAGCAGCGCAGTTGTTGGTTGCTTCTGGGTGAAGAATGGCTATAAACGAGCATTGAAAACCTTAAACTGCCTGGATCACGCGTGTGAATAGGAATGAAGAGGATTTAGTGAATTAAGAGGAATTAACGAGAAGTAAGAGTAATCAGTGGGAATTAAGGACTATAAAGTGAATCAAGAGCAGTCAAAGGGAATTAGGAGGAATTAAAGTAAATTCAGAGGAATTAAAGCAAATTGAGTGGATGTCTAAGTGAAATAAGATGATGACTCAGCACATTGTGAAGGATGACTCAGCACATTGAGAAGGATGACTCAGCAAATTAAGAAGGATGACTCAGCTTATTAAGGGGAATGACTCAGTGAATTAAGCTGGCTAATTAAGGTGGCCAATTGGTGTGGCTAATTAGTACAGATGACAAAGCGATTTAAGAAGGTCAACCACGTGGTGTAAGGAATTGTGCCCGTGAAATCTGGAGATGACATATAAAACAATTGAAGAGAATGTGAAAAAAGAAAAGTTGAAACCAAGTAAATCATGTGTCTTTCATTAACGCATTGGGGCTTGGGCTTTCGCCTTCAAGTCGTCTTAGGGGTAATATAAGAGACCCTGTGAATTTTGCAACATGGGCTGATGCTCGGTATTTTACAGTGGGCGAAAGTTTGAGAAACGTGGATTAAAAGAAAAGAGAAGCATAAACATTTTTTGTTAGGATTCAACACTCGGCTAACTGAAGAGTTTGTCTTTTAACGCGCTTCAATTTTGACCTACAGGCGGAAGAAGCGTGCCTTCAAATGAATGGAAAGTTTTAAGGGAGGTTATAGGTGCTGCCATCTATCGTACGCAATATTGAACACATTTAATTGATTTGCATTTGCTGGGGGGTGACATAATTCTATCGTTTTTGTGGGAAATGCCTTCGTCCTCGTTGTGGGTCATGCATGCTCAGAAGTAGCACGAAGCGTTGCTCAAGGAAAGTGTCCACGAGGACTCGGGTGGTGAAACCTCATCACCAGACGACCACGGTGATGGAAGAGACCTAGACTCTGCGCCGACGGTGAACACGTCCACATTTTCTACGTCGTGGCAAGACGGCGGTACCCCGAGAGCACGTTTTCCTTTCCGAGGGAAGCTCGCTCCACACAAGAACAAGCAGTGTGTCATTCCTTTGCACGAAAGTCTTATCGGAAGCATGCGACAACACAGTCTAACTAGGAAATGCTTCCTAGCAGAAGCATTTCCCATTGAACACGGCCGGACTGGCATACTTCGTGCGTAGCTGTCGACCTTAGTTTCTGACAAATGTCAGCTTACCTGAGCACAGCACTATACGAAACGTTTGAGGCCACACTCGGTGCAAACTTTTTTACGCGAGACCCGAAAGTTGAGAACTCAGATCCTTTCCATGCGCCGTCAAAAACCGCCGCAGTCGTCTCAATTCCAGGACGTCTTCTCGATACGCCAGCGAGCGAAGAGCAATCTGATAATATGAGGAGCGAAAAATGCTTCTTGTAAATTTTAGAAATTATTGGAGCAGATAAATGTCCCATAGTGATTTCCAGATCGTCGAGCGTGCAGACATTCCATACAGGCTTATTCCGGCGCGGATGAATGAAAAACGCGGCATTGCATTGTCGTCGTTTCCGCTTACGACTACGGGGCATCCCGCGGGTCGAATTACGTAAAAACAAGTACAGAGGGACACTGGACGCAGCTGGGTTCCCGAATTTCAAGGGGCCAAAACTTTTCTTTAGGGGTGTGCGAATATTCGAAACTTCGAATACTTCGCGAATAATGCTTGCTATTCGATTCGATTCGCTTCGCCCTTTCGCTGTTCGAGCTATTCGAGTTCTTCGAATACTTCGAAAACTACGAATAACGCGGAACTCATTGATTAGTGTCTGTTTTGTTTTTGGACTGCGCAGTATGGTTTCAAGCTTGGCAAACCTACACAACCAACCTAAGTGTCTTTTTTTCTTTTTGTAGGAAGGATTGGAAAGTTATTTGCACGGCGGTAGCGCGATCTGTCCTTTGCTTGCCGTGATGTCCGGATTGCAGAGTTGGCTAAGTGGTCGTGGCGCAAACGCTGCGATAGATAGGATGAAGGACTACGATTTGCAACGGCACATGCATCGTCGCGACGGACCGCACGACGTTTTGGGCGTCCGCCCGAGACGTGTTGTATACGTTCCTGTCCACATTTATTTTTTATGTAGCACAACCATATATTCGTGATTTCGTACCTACAGTGACTACAGTAGCCAAGGTGCTATGAATTCGGATATGAATTTATGGCTCACCTCGGCTATCGGTGATATCTGGCTTGTGTTATTTTCCGCTTGATTTTCCGGTTCATCAGTTTGCCAGTATTCCTTTTGTTATTTATTTCTACCCGTTTTCACTGGTAAAAGTGAGACTTCCGCCCCCCCCCCCCCGCCCCCCGCTTGGCAAAAAAAAAACATATTCTTAATTTATTGCATCTTTGTGGCGCCCTCTATGGACAGAACTATTGCACACGGAAAGAGATGGTGCATAGTCAGTGCGGTTGCGCAACGCGATCGTGCAATCTGAAACCCTGCTGCGGCCTGTCGACCCGCCTCCGCTTGTGTACTTCCGTTTACGTTCACGTGGTTGCGTTCACGAGCATAAAAAGAGATCGCACAAAGTAGAGACGCAATCATCGACTTTGTATTGTGGCTTGCGGACCCGCCACCGCTTGTGTACTTGCGTTTGCGCTCAAGCGCCTCCTTTCGTCCGCGATGCGATCTCCGACTGCGTTGTGGCTTGCCGAACCGTCTTCACTTTTGCACTTTCATTTACGTTCTCTAACCTCTGTCAAGGAATGGTGTTTTAAAGACTGATATTTTTTTCATCTGTTTTTTTTTTTAACAGTCACATGTGTGACATTTTTCTTATTACAATAAAAGTAACCTTTTCATAAACGTTTGTTGAAACAAAAATCCAGTTGTGTTTTTTATTAAGCATTCTTGTTTAATTCACATAAATAGAAAATATTTGTTTTCAAATATCTTCTTATTTGAAACTACTATTTGTATTCGAAAATATTCGATTCGATTCGATTCGTAGCTTTTATTATTCGATTCGATTCACTTCGAAAGATATTGATATTCGCACACCTCTACTTTTCTTTGGAGCGAGATCGAGAAGCATGGCCGCGGGAAGGCGCAGATACAGCTGAGACGCTGTGGGAGCGTTGGAGGAGGTTCGAACAGGTGGCGCTTCAGTGTGCGACACAGCACGGACACTATTGCCGGTGGTGCCGCCAGCCAGCTTCCAAGGCAGAACGGTTTGCTCACTTTGGGTGTTGCACGCTCCGTAAACAACAAATGCCAAGTTTTGGTGCGGACACATTTTTTCTTTTTTTTCATCTTTTTGTATGAAAATATTTTTAATGGTATGGTTGCGCAACCCCAGCAAGGCAGCCCACTTGAGAGGTTAAGCCTTATGTTTATATGATGAAGACACAATACTGTGAGCCGCTGTGGGGTTTATTTCGGTGAAAAAGACACTTGCCAGCCAGAAAGACTAACTTTTTTTCTTAGATCTTATATAGATCACACATAGGCCCACAATGTCACATCTTCATTGGGCATGTAGCGGCCTAACTGGATGCTGGCTCGTAGAAAAATTCTAAATTTCCCCCTCCTAATCCAGGCATGTTCAGATTCTGAGACTTTTGCCCATTGTACCCGCTGCTAGTGTTATATTCTGGCATTTGGCTTTCTACAGTGGACACTTCATTTGTGCGGGCTGAAAAACGGTTTCATTTCCTGTCTCGGACCGTGTAGCATTGTACTTGACTCACGAGTGTACGCATCTAAAAATTGACCCGAAACCTTGGTACCATAATGATACTTTCGCGAATAAGAAAATGAGTTTTAAGACTCCTACAGATACGCCAAACTCTCCCAAACATTTTTTTAAGCACCGTGATAAAACGCGTGTGCAAAATAAACCTCCTCCGAAAGAGAGAAAATAAAAAAGATTTAGTGCAGTATTTTTGTTTCGAGAAGCATTTGGAGTTGAGAGTGGTTGCACGAGGGGCTCCTATTTGAAGACATCGATCCCGAAGTGAAAGCGCTTGATCGCTTGGAATGGGTCTTGCAACATTAATATTGCACTAGACAGGTGTTCTCAAACTTCTTAATCTTGACCAACGCTTATCTCTGGAAGGGCAGTGGAGGAGCTCCTCCTGGGCCAGCTTGCTAGAAACAGCATCTTAACTGAGACTGGGTGAAGGAAAGCATTCCAAGGCTGGGGTACGCGAGCGCTTGAGACTCAACTCGAGAGTCGAGACGCCACTCCACTAGTGCGCTAGCTGAGGCTGTCTTCCACCCTGTCTTAGCCGAGACGCCACTTTTAAAAAGCCGGACCTCACATCGCCATTGATGCGGCAAAACGTCGTAGAAGCCTGCAGACAATGTAAAGGATCTGTGCTGCATAATTTTATGCATCGGTGGATGGCTCAGGTCTCCCGAAATAGTGTGGGTGCAGCCAGAGAGAAGGAAACTCTCCCTCATTCCTTGTTTCCATTCGAGAAAGAGGGAAGCCCTCGTTCTTTCTGCAAAGACAGAGACCTGCTCCCGTGGGGAGGCTGGAAACCGGTTCTCTTCCCGGCAGAAGGCGATCCTGTGGGTCGCCCCTCGGACCAGGAGAGCAGTTGGCGACAGTGAGAGATATTTGGGAGGGTGCCCGATTTGAGTACCCTTGCGCCGCATCTTTTTCTAGGGGGGAAGTCTGTTTTGCGACGTACGTACACTTGCCGGAAGTTTTGTTGGAAGTCTCTCGCTTTGGATCCCTCCCTGCAGGTACCAGCAGTGCTTCGACCTGGAGGGAGAGTCCGGGGTGGTGGTGCGAGGCATTGGCACGGCGGTGACCCTGGTGCCGACGGGACGCCCTCCCAGCCTGTCCCCCCTCAGGGAGGCCCTCCGAGAGTGAGTGGCTTCCCCCTACCCTCGCCGGGCGCCTCGGTTACGCCGCCTGAAACCCGTCTCCGACCGGCACGTTTGGCATCCCACGGGACCTCAAACGTCCTGCGAGGTAGACACTCCCGCCCCCTTCCTCTCTTAGACCGAGCGGTGAGCTGAGCATATGTTCTAACCTCAGGACTCGGAACAAAGAAGCTACCTCCTTGATTTAAACTACGGCTCGCATTTGCAGCTGCAGAATGCTGCTTCATCTCTCGAATGCAGACGTAAAGGCTTGGCCGAATCTTCCCTGTTCGATGCCCTCTAACTATAACATCCTCAATTGAAACCTCCCGTACAGTGTAGACCGCATATAGCGTATGTCTCGGGAGTCGCGAAAATCCGCACTATAAGCGGTACCGCACTATAACCAAAACATTAATTTTTCAGGCCAAAATACATGCCATGAGACAACTTACCTTTGTAAAAGAATTTATTTTATGTTAGATGAAAAATAAAGCTTAGTTTGAGGAAAGTCTTTATTTCACCAGACTAGTACAGTTCTGTCTCAAGTGTGTCACACATTTTGAAAGAAATGAGCGGCTTTTGCCTGGCGCAGCCTTTTAACGGCGTTGCGGGTTGTGGACGGACGTTGTGAGCGTTCAGGATTGCTAACCCTAATCACTTTTCTCCGGAGATGAAAACGCGTGAAAATTCGCATCCTTCATACGGTATGCGCCAGTAATACCTTGAACTTGAGCACACGTATGAAATGCGCCAAATAAGAAATCCGGGCGATGTTTGAGGACACAAATGCTTAGAAATCACCACTGTAGTCGAAGTAAACAAACGCGACGACACGGGCGTTTCTGCCGTCTTGAGAGCGCCGCCACGACATTGCCGCACGAGTAGGTGGATCTTCCCTTCTAGTACGTGCTGGGTTATCATAGCGACACACAACGAAAATTCACAGTCGAGGATAGCGCTTTTACGCAGAACGATGAGATGCACGCCGTCTACGACGACGATCACAACCGATGCAACGCGCGCGAACACTTCTCCTCGACCTGCGATTGGTCTGTCGTTGCGGTTGTTTGTTTCTTTGTTTCCAATGCAGCGGAGGGACGCACGCACGTGAACGACTCGTGCGTGCGTCCCTCCGTCGCTATGGCAACTGAAGCCTCTCTCTCCGCTTCTCCCCGCGTTTTCGAGCAACCTCCTTGCCCCGCGAGTGCAGCTTGTGGCTCGCACCGTCAGCGCCGTTATCTAGTGTCGCACAGGGAAGCGAGCTCGCTGCTCTGGTCGTCGGCGCGGTCGGCGGGCTGTGCCACAAACCGCACTATAACCGGTACTTCCCTTCGCGCGCCTGCATTTTAAGCGGTATGTAATTACATGGAGTTCTATGGGAGGTGAACCGGTGGTTTAAAAAAACCGCGTTATACCCGGTCCTGCACTATAAACGATTACGTTTTAAGTGGTGTATACTGTAGTTGAAATATGTCTATTTTCTATTTGGGTCCGGGTGTCTTCAAATATAGGGTGTCTGAAATACCGTAACTGGATCTAAAATGAGCCACAGAGAAGCGTTTTCAGTGTTACCTTGTTTGCGATCAAGATCATCAATTTTTTTTTACTGTATGTAGACAATGTCCCCGATCGCTTTCTCCTCATGCAACTTGTGAGCGTCTGTGAGTGCCAGTTGCTGGTAGCAATAAATAGTATGAGTAAGTAGGCCGATGAAAAGGGTTTCCAGTTTGCACCAGAAAAAATGGTGTGCGTGCCTTTTTCACTATGTCGGGGCTGTCACTACATCACAGCTTGAAGATGAATAACGCTGGCATAACCATTAGGCTAGAACACAAGTTCTTGGGACTTACTTTTCAGACCCATCTGAGGGAACTGAAGTGAAAGTGTCTTAAATCTGCTAATATTCTCAAAGTACTCGCACACGTGTCCTGGGAGGTGCCTTTTGTGACTCTACAACTCGCTGGTTCGTTTCCGTCTCGACTACGGTGCGGTAGTATATGGCTCGGCACAACTGTGACCTTCAAAAATGCTAGATCCTGTCCATCAGCTTGGGCTTGGACTTGCCTCTTCTAAACGTCGCCTGTCCTGAGTCCGTATGCAGAGTCGTACCAAATGCCACTTGAACAACAAAGACAGCACCTCAGCCTATGCTATAGACTTCTCCTTTGTTACATTTTTTTGGGAACAAGCCAAGTATAGTATGACGAGATCTCAAAGCATTGCTCCTTGGAAGGTATTGCACTATACCGGGACTGGTCGCTGACCAAATACAATAAGCGATCTGTTGTGCCACTAGTTCTTCAGCGAGCGTTTATGACCTTGCTAGCTAAGTATAAGGACCATGTACAGTTCTTCTCTGATGGTGCAAACACTCTACACTTTGTCGGTTCGGCTGCATATTGTGAGCACTTTGGGAAAGCTAGACGACTTGGCTCTGTTGCCAGCATTTTTACTGCGGGGCTTTATGGTGTGCTCGTGGCTATGGAATATGTATTAGGCAACAATATCAGGAAAGCTATTTTGTTTGCGGAATCCTAGAGTGCTATCCTCTCTCTGTTCCCTCAATGATGCTAAGAATTAACTTGTGCAACCAGTATATGTGTAGAGTTAAACCTGACTTTCCAATATCAAGCTGTGCTGGGTACCGAGCCATGTGGAAATTTGGGGTAATGAAAAGGTGGATAGGCTAGCGGCCTCTGTTAAAGGGTAACTGCAAAGAAAAAAAAGTTTTTTTTTAAACAGCCTAATTGGGACAAGCATGTCACAAAACAAATGTTCCGCAAAAAAATTATTTTTTTTATCAATATTTACGCCACAGGACGTAATTTAGGAGAGTCAGAACCTCTCCACATTTGAAACTCCCGCTCTTTCGACCCCCGCGGAAGAGGAGTACGCCCCGCCCCTCACTCTCCTTGCGTTGAACGACGCAGCGTCTCGACTTCCGGCAAGATCTGGCAACTACGCCAGGCCGCGGTTTGATTTGGTTTGACGCGGTTTGCGAGCACATGTAGCGAAGACGTGACCGGAGAAGAGCCCCTGTGATGTTCCCGGAAGACGGAAAGTATCGTTCATAATCGTCGTGCGCGCTTTGAAAGCGAAGGGAGTCACAGAATCCACGTGTGCGCAACCACAAGCCAAGGTTCACGACAGCGCTGCGTTGGTTTCGGCGATCTCGTTGTGTTTGGTGCAACACGGCGATGCGACAGAGCTGAAACGTTCGTGGTGTGTGTAATGCGGTGCTAACACGGAGCGCCAATTGGTTGTTGTGGTGTTGATGTTCAACCAGTTAAGGGGGGACATGGCCTCGGAATTCAAAATTTTCAGAAAAAAATGTTTTTTTCAAAAATGATATGTTTATGCTTATTAACTTCCAAAGAATGGTTTCAGAAACCTTCATTTATAAACATGCAGGATTTATCTCAGAATAAATTATTTTCGACATGCCGGCAGCCCTCCAAGTCAGCAGGAAGCAAGTTTTTTGTGTTTTTTATTTAGCACTGCTTCATACTCGTTTAACCTAGCCAGAACATCTCACCCTCATTGGAAGTGCCATTTACTCTAGATTTAGCCCGTAGAAGCTTTCGAAGTTTACAAGTATCAATGGCCAGGAGGACCCAATACATCCAAAAAGAAAAAATTAAGAAAATTTGGTATGAGCAATTTTATTGGTTGACACCTGAAACAGGGTTTACGGTTGGTCCCTCCCGGTGACGTGATATTTTGTCGTCTTCATTAACGCCCCTTTACAGTATCTTCCACTTCAGATCCTATTCCTGCTTTGCTGCTCTTTCTCAGTGTGATTTGCCTCTTAGTTCCTGCCAGCTTATCTGTCAGGGAATGCCTGCTACAAAAGTTAGCATGCTTACAAACAACACAAACTGGTAGCTATTGCCAGGGGAACAACAGATGCTCAAAGACGAAGGTGCTAACAATGCTCCAGGTGAATTTTGCTTACCTCGGACTCATAAAAAATAAGGAAACCTAAAGTTGAAACTTCAAATGCATTTTTCTCAGTTTCACTTTTTGGCAGGAAATGTGGTATGAGGAAATGTATCATTGGACATTTTGAAAGTGTAAAGATTTCATTCAGTGTTGTCCTTGACTCAAATTTCCTGAGGAACAAGTTAAGGTACTCATAATCTGAAAATGCTAAATTCTCCATGACAAAAACTGAATATTTTAAAACTCACAAATTTGTTAAAATCGTTCGCTCTTTTTGGGTGTTATTGTTTTTCTCTAGAATCACATTTTCTACAGTTAATTTTTACCTTAACTTGCGCTATGGGTATTCTACTTCACATTAAACTAAACATTTTGTAGATTTCAATTATTATTTTTCTTAAATACATTTCCTAATAAAGTAACTTTTTTCTGGAGCTTGCTAAGCATAGTATGTGGTATAATTGGCCTATAAGGCTGAAACTTTAGATGTCATCAATCCTAATGGGGTTCAATTCACCCTGAAAGTTTTAATCACTTTGAGACAATGGTTCAAAAGTTGACCCTCCCAGGCCATGTCCCCCCTTAAGTCCCGTCGTCGTCAGCTGATCCAGTCAAACTGGTCCGGGAGGACGCTGGGAGCGTTTTTAAAAGTAAATCTGCCTCGTTCTGTTTCAAAATGTGGAAGTTTCCCGACGCATACCGTGAGTAAAAAGCTGCGGGCGTTTTCAACAAAATTGCGTCGTTTTAATTGAACAATGGACTCCGAATTGTCCTAAATCTGCCGTTTTTATGCTTCGTGTTGGACTGCGTTTGTACAGCGACGTGTTGCATCGTGCGGTGTGAATAAATTTGGGCACGATTTCGTACCTGCCTACAGATGCATGAACTGAGACCATTTTTACGTAGTGGACATAGTGCTTTTTTATTTTCTGTCTAGTCGCAGACGTTAGGTGCACATGGGGCGAATCTCGACGGCCTCCAGAGCGATATGACGAGAACGTAACTAGACACGTTGGTCGCTACGCGAACGCCCGATTGCCTCCAGCCAAATAGCATTC